TTTCACGTTTGTGGTGACCCTAAATAACCTATATATTATATATAGGCCTATATACCTATACCTATATAGGTATATAGCCTATATACCTATATATTATACCTATATATTATATATAACCTATATATTATATATAGGTAGGAGTCGGAGTTGTCCTAAAAGTTTAGGAAAATGTGTACTATTTTTTAACTTTTCACGCTTGTGGTGACCCTAAATAACCTATATATACAGGAGTTGTCCTAAAATTTTAGGAAAATGTTTTTTTTTTTTTTAAATTAAAAATTCTGAATAAGTTGCTTCGAGATTTGCTTAAATGCTGAGAAGACCCATGTCACTACCACAGCTAATCATCAGCTTTTGTGAGAGAAATAAGTAATTAATATCCGAAAACTAAAACCTGTTCAAATATTACTTACCGCGCATTATTTTCTGTAAATATTTTTAGTAACCAAATTATTAATTCTTCATTAAAACCAATGCGTCTCTTTTAATGTATTAAAAAAAGTATGATGCCATGGAATTTGGAAAAAAATAAGAAAAAATCGTTAGTGCTTCACAATTAGTTTCGAGAAAATTGGGTTGGCAACTAATTTATTTTTTACCTTTTTAATTAATTAATGGTAACTAACACTAGGACTTAAATTTCAAATTATTCATATTTAAACCAAAAACGGTCTTCGTATTTACTTTTAATAGTGAACTAAAAAAATATGCTACTAAAAGTTGCCGATGTGAATCTTTATAATTAAATTCTGAATTTTATTAGCTACCACTTTTTGTAATTTTAATCACCCGTGGTAACCCTGTATGAAGAGATTCAATTTATAGTAGATCTTGGCGTTTTACATAAATAAGTTTAAGTGGAATATCTTAATAATACGGTCAAACTCATCTATTGCGAATTTCAATTTGACGAAAAGCCGGATGTAAGAATATAATTCTTTCTAAAAACTGGTTGCTTTAATGTTAAAATAAAGCATTCCCGCAACAGCCCGCTGTGGGCCATGGAGGATCAGGCTGCCAATTTCGCCACCAACAACATGATTGAGGCGATGTGGTCAACACCGCGCACAGGCCGCCTTTTTTCGGTTTATTTTGCCAAACTTTTTAAAAGGTTCAACCAAACATAAATGTGGCAAAGTGGCGATTTGCATAAGTCTTTGAATTATTTAGAAGTAGTAGTGCATTAAAAAAATATATATAAATCAAGTTTACTATACAAGAATCACACATTAAAACACTACCACTAGAAAATGTACATCCGCTGTCCGAAGCAAGTTGGCATCACTGATATAAAAAATTGAAAACAAAGTATCCCTCTCTCCAATTACATTCCTCAGACATTTAATAAACTTCTTACTAGTTAGAATGGTAAGAAGCTTTTTACTGATTTCTCACCTGTTTAAAACTAAGCTTTCAAACTTAAGGGGTAGTAGCACAAACCACTTCCGTAAAATTAGTATTAATTTTGATGACATCATTAGATATTTCAAGAATTGCGTAACTATTTCCGCAATTCTGTAAGCATTGTATTTTTAAAAACGCGTACTAAAATATTTTTCATAAAATATTTTAAAACGTTTTTAAGATTAAGTAATTAATAAAACCACAAAACTTTTTTTGCGACTTGACCATGAATATGACAATGCCGAAACGTTGTTTGTATGAAGAAAAAAAAGAATCACTTCAATTTTTCATTTTAATGTATATACCTGATTAAAATAGGCGTCCGAGTTGCATAAGGATTAAAGAATGTAACGTAACCAGGTGCCCAGGGAATGTTTCGTAGCAATCTGACCTTCATTTCGATAAATTACGATTGCTAGGTATCAAAGCGGGGGTGTTCATGAGTTCATCCAAAACAACATTAGCATATTAGCAAATGTAATTCTGATTTCAGTGGTTAATATAGTTGATGAGATATGTAAGATATTTATGAGAGTATAGAATTAAAATGAACCTTGAGGTTTTGAATTGTTCTAAAATTTCCTCCAAGTTTTTCTAAATAAGAAATTAAGACGCTTATTTTGAAGAAATGTGAAATTAGGTGCTTTCAAAAAGTTTCGTCGTTCGATTGGCTTATAATGGAAAAATATACAGCAGACCAACAATAGATGGCCTTTTGTGTTAGAAGTAAGCCATAAAAAAAGTTAAGAAAAATAAAAGAGGCAGTCATTTTCTGATTGTGTGTAATTTCTTATTTTGTCTGTCATTTCAATTTTAAACAACTAATTCAGGAGAAAATTATAACTGAATTAAATCTTTTGTAACTAAAAATATTTCGCAATTTTATTTCACCAGAAATTAGTTGAACACAAGAACTTTTGTTTCATTTTTATCTTTTCTTGAATCCTAAAAACATTTCAAAAATTTGCTTACAACATTTTCGCAATGAACCTTACAAATTAGCAATTATAGCTGTAAACATGATACTTTGTCATTACATTATTTATTATTCGATTAATTATTATAATGATTACAAATTGATCATAATTTGTATTTCACCAATTTCTGCAAAAAATTATTATGTATTGATCAAATAATGAATTAATTTAACACTGTTGATAAAAAATCTACCCACCTATTGGATGTGCTGCCATAAATTCTCACCTTAAACTTTTGTCCAAAGAAAGCAAAGAGTTACTTTATTAAAGTTATAAAATAAAAGGTATCCCAGATGATCTATTATCTCTTTGCATCAGACTTAATTTACAGCACCGTTTGACCAGCTTATCTAGATTATATAATACCGTTTACGCTTGCTGGGCTGTTTGTGTCTCGAAAAAGAGCAAATTGGACTACAAGACTGTTTCCTTAAGAAGAAAATTATTGTTAATAAGTCTTGATAAACCAAGTTATTTATCTCTTGCAAAGAAAAGCTAGAAATGAAATGATTATACAACCAGGTTTTTCTTGCTTACAATCAGAGCTTCATGTGGCCTGAAACCGCTTTTGTGCCATTAAACTCAATATTCGATAACATCATCTATTTTCAAAATAAAAATTGAATTCCATGACTATTATTCGAATACTATTTCTTACCGTAAAAAATTTTGCGAGAGAAGCTAATCTGGATTTCGCGTGCACGAAAGAGAAAACTACGAAAATCTCATACGATCCCTATGACAGAAGGGATTCGATGAAAATTTTGTATGATCCGTGCAGGTTTTAGATCGTTGTTTCTATGAATATTTGTTCTACGTTAACCATCTGCATTATTCAACTTTTACATACATGCAGTGTCCTAAGAAAAAGCTAGTAGACAGACAGTTATAAGTGAAATTGTTTATAGCATTCGATCCGTGTAATGAAAATTTTAAAATAATAATAATTATTTTTATTCTTCGTCACAACTCTTTTAAAGCAATTTTTTTAAAATCTTTTTTAAACATTTCAAAACTTTCCATTTAATTTAAATACAAATTTACAACTATTTTTTTCATAACGACACTTTTCATAACACTGTACTGAAATAATCACTTGCTGAGAAACTATTACAGCCTACCGAATTCTCCCGCCTGGACCGGTGATTTTTCTAAAATATTCACGTATTTCTAGAATATAACGACACTTTTCATGACACTGCACTAAGATAATAACTTTCTATGACACAATTACCGCCAACCGAATTCTCCGATCTGGACGGGAGATTTTTCTAGAATATTTAAAAGAAGGGGCAAATTTTATGCTATACCATTTTAATCAAATAAATTTAAGAAACAATGATTTTAATTATAACAGTGGTAAACTTTTGGCACGATTTGAATGATCATGCTTGAAACTTTTAGAAATGATGTCATTTTTACCCATGCAAAGTGCGGATCGACCAAAATGAGGAAAGAAAGTTAACTTCTTTCTAGCTTTAACACTTTCATGTTCGGTGACACCAACGTGTTGTCACGTGAAAACCAAACGTTAGCTGCCGGTGACAACACGTTGGTGCCATGTCCAAGCCAAATGTTAGTGGCCGGTGACAACGCATAGATGTCGCGCGTTGCAATACAAATACAATGCTTCATGTGACATTTTCTCAAGAGACAATGGAGTACAGGGATGCCAACTGCTCCGCTTTCTGGAATAGTTTTAATAAAGTGGTAGCAAATTATATAATAAAATTCGTTAAAGAAAGATAGTTACGCCTATTTTCTGACATAGTAACCAGTAGTTTGATGCTTTAACGTTGCATTTTATATCATACTTATAATTTTTGATATTTAGTGGTGAAAAAATTACTTACAATGAAAAATACTAAACTAAAAAGTAACTTAAATTTCGCTACCACTAGAAAATACTATTTTACAAAGCGGAGCAAGTTACATGGAACCAGTTACATTGTAAACTTATCACTAAATATATGCAGACCGCATAATGTTAATACCAGAAATTTTGAAATCATTCTGTGAGATTTCCATACTTATAAGAATACTTTTGAAATTAATACTGGTATTGGAGAAAGAAATAAGCTTTTAACTTCCTCGAATCAATTTGGTTGATGCAGACTTTGCAGGGTTAAAAATGACACTATTTTAAAACATCCAAGCAAAATCGTTCGAATCGTGTTGACAGTTTTGCCGTGTAAAATCTTACAAAGCATTTGTTGTTAAAAGAAATATTCTTTACATAGTTAATATACTGGTGTTTCCATATTTTTGTCCTACTCCTGTCTTTAGGCGAACACAAATGTGTTTTTTTCCACCAAAATAAATCTAAAAAATGAGCTAATTGAATTATCAGTTTTTATCTCTTTAAAAAAATGAATCTGAGAGTTTTGGAGGTTAAGGGGTTAAGCAGGGATGCCTTAAGCTGAGTTTTTGTACTGTTTCCTAAATATCAAAAAAAATCTTCTTTGAATGTTAGTTACCACTTTCCATTTTTTAAGAACTTTACTGAATAGTCAGGAATTGAATAGTCAATAGTCTGACGACTATTTTAATTATAAATTTTAAAATTAAGTTAGTTAATTCAAAACACACACAAAAATAAATAAATAAAACATAGAAATGTATGAATTATTCTTTTTATTGAAAAAAATAAAGATAAAATATCTCATTTATAAAAACTAAAGGCATTTAATAACAAAGTAAACTGCTTCATTTCCTGAGTTTCTTTGAGGCTTCAGCTAAAAAAGTAAGAAGAAAAATTAATTTATTATTGTGCATTAAAATCAAAAGAAGAATCATATGTACACCAACTCAACATATCATCTCGTGGCACTTTATGTAATGCATATTGTTGCAATTATCAACTCAAACATTCAAAACTTTATCAAACCAGTATTTATTTATTTAGTTATTTATTTATAAATTTATTTGAAAAAATATTAGCACAAATATATCAGTATTGCAAAAGTTCCCTTACTAACACAATTCACATATTTGTTGTAAAAAAATATATACATATATATATATAACGTCGTTGCCGAGTGGAAGGATTAAAACAGGTCTTAGGCAGGGAAGGAGGGTAAAAAATTTATTTATTAATTATTTGACAGAGAGCAGTCATAAAAGTGAACACAAAAAGTTGTGTTTCTTTATTATATGTAAGGAAAAATCTTGCAAAGTAAATCCGTAAAATGTTTCAATTTAGGGACAGAGGGAAATCTTAGTAATTGCAATTTGTTTATCAAATAGATCAAGCGATTCCCACAGAGAGAAAAGGAAAAAATATCTTGCTTTTAATTATGCATACTTGAGCCAAAAATAGATTTAAGAACAGGATGTGGCTTTTTAAAAGTGCGAGAAAGTGTTTCGATTAGATAAATAAAATAAAATAAAAGAAAAGGATAGTCAGAAAATAACTAACACAAAAAGATTAACTGAACTTTTTATGTTACATATATATCATAGTTATTTATAAGTTTTTTGACATTTGTTTGTCAGGTCACAATGAATGATTTAATTTTTTTTAAAGAAAACTATAGACTGAGAAGCTATAAGGCACGTGGAACAATTTTTATTTTTGTTGCATTTATAAAAGTACTTGAATTTACCTAATTTAGGTGTGGTGATTTCAAATCTGAATTTAGTTTTGTTTCTACAGATAAAAATTTACAGTTTATTTTTGTTATAAGTTTGTTTTTTAACTGAATGTACAAGTTTATCAAGAAATAGGTTTACATGCATACATTTATCTGCTCCTCTAAAAATAACAGACAAGACAAAAAACCTATGATCCTAGTGTATACCATAATGAGCTAAAATGTATTATCATTTATTTCTTTACCACGCTTTACATTAGAGAGAAGTGGGAACATTTAAGGGTGCCACAAATATTAACCCATTTTTTTGACTAATTGTCACAGTCCAGCGTTGTTTAGCAGCATTTTTAGAAATTAATAGCTCACTAACTGCAAAATATACCTTTTCACAAGAATGGCTCATATCTTATATTAGTGACTTGTTTATTTTCTCTTAAAAGAAAATATTTCTTCTTCATTTTATTAGCCTATTTTTACAATAAGCAAAATAAATATATCAGTTAACTTAGTTTATCATTTTACAATAATCACTATATAAATACCTTGAAGCCATACATATCTCAACTTATTTTTCACTTCATCATTAATTTTTTATCCTACCTCTATAAATTTCTTTAAAAAAGCCAGTGTTAAAGCCTGTTTAGAGGATCCAAGTTCTTGGACGAAGATTGATTGATATTGTTGGAAACTTGTTTTGCTTTGAACTTAGATTGTGTAAACGATCATCCAAGTACTTGGTCCAAGTCCTTGGACGATAGTAGAGCATGTTCTATTTTCCATCCAAGTTTTTTCTCCCTTAACCAATTAGCGTCTTCGGTTTTGTGACATCAAACAAGCAGGCATCAGATTATTTCATTTTGTTGTCTGTTTTTGTATACTTTAATACAAATAAATTAATCTGTTACAATCTATTTGTATTATTATGATTTTATTTAGTAATTTTAAACTCATGTAAGTAAGATTGTTGAATATGAGCAACGTGCATGCACAAGCTTTTCTTCCGACAAATCAGTGACATTCAAGAACTTATATAGTATCGATGAATCATCCAATTTCTCGAAATCAAGAACTTGGACCGTGTAAACAGGCCTTTAATTTAACATTTTTTCCAATATTTTGAAACATCAAGAGGGGGATACAGAAATAATTATGAAAAAATGGTGATTTTCTAATTTATTTAAAACAGGAAATATTAGTTACAGTTTTCTGAGAAAAAAAATGAGAAAAATTTGTGTGAAAAAATAATTTAGAAAACGAATTTAAAATAGATGTTGATTGGAGAGCTAAATTTAGACCCCTGCCTTTTTCTCAAGACTGATTTGTGCCCTGAGTACTGAAGAGTGGCACCCATGCATTTCCTCAAAAGAAATTTAAAAATTAAATTTAAAACTGAATTAAATTTAAAAATTAAATTTAAAACTAAATTAAATTTAAAAATTTAATTTAAAATTAAATTAAATTTAAAAATTAAATTTAAAACTAAATTAAATTTAAAAATTAAATTTAAAACTAAATTAAATTTAAAAATTAAACTAAATTTAAAAATTAAATTAAATTTAAAAAATTCTGGTTAAGAATATATTACTAAATTGCATGAAACTGTAAGTTGCAGAGAGAAACCAATTGCAGATTCGAAAATATCCATGATTCATTGAAGAAACTCATGCAACAGAAAACAAAAAGAAATTGCTCTCTGGGGAAATTTAAGTTTAAATCAGTTTTCATAAGAAATCAGTGTAGAGGCTGTTGTTTCACAGAAACTTACACAATCAGTTTTTAAAAATACATCCTACCCTCATTTAAAGTATTAGGCTAAATATTATTTTGTATTTTGTTTTTTAAGCTTATTGCAAAAATTTGCACAAATTGCATCTTTAATGAATAAATAGATATAACTAGAAAACAGATAATTATCATCTTCAGAAAATAACCAATAGTTGTTTAATAAAACAAAAAGATCTTAATCAGAACTGAGTTTATGAGAAGCTGTTAATAGGCTAACTAAGCTTTTAAAAATAAATTTAGCAAGCTTTACACAACAACGAAGACATGTTCTTATGAAATGTATTTTGTATATTACAGACTGTTTGAAGATAACAAGCTTAAAAACAATAAAATAAATTACCCTCAACTAAACAAACTTCTGCGTCTGCTCCTAATTTAATTAGATAATCAAGCCATAGAATCTGTTTGGATGAAAGTTTATCACCTGGTCCTTTTACTTCAACAATCTAAAAAATATTGTTTTTAAGAAATCAATCAAAACTGTCAATGACAATAGTAAAAAAGAAAATAATAATGAAAAATCTGATTGTGATACAAATATTTTTAAACATAACAATAAAAGCTTTCATAATGTTTTTTCTTATTTTGTTTCGAGACTTTCTCATATTAATACTTTCCTCAGGTTATTATCGTCTTGCAACAAATTTTCAAACTTTAAAAATTGTTTTTAGCATTAGCTTTTAATTTAAGCATTAGCTTTTAGCATTAGCTATTTAATTTTAGAAACATTATAGACTTTCTTGAAAAAACCTCAAAATCTATAAATGCCTCTCAGAATATTTGCATGTCTTGTTATTTTTCATTGCAAAAATTTTAAACACAAAATAATCTAAACAAATTGAATTAAATCTTTAGTATTTACCCTTTGATACAGATTTTTCATTAAACATATTTTTCAAACTTTTTTCAGTATTTTGTATTAATTTAGATCAAAATAAGTCAAAAATATTACATTTGGCATTTTATAAATTTTTGGTTATGAAATACAGCATCAGACACTGGTGTCTTTTTTTGCGTTAAAGATAAAATGTTCAAATATGGCGCACTTCCAAATAATACTTCTTCAAATTTGCACTTGTTTGCAATTATTTACATCTTAGAAAAACAGTATTTCCTCATTGAAATTTCTTTAGTTTAATTATTAATAAATCTTTGAATATGATTGAAAAAAATTTCAAACTACTTTTTTTGTATTTAATATTTAAAAAATATATATATAACTTTGAGAATTTAGCAGATTATTATAGTAGCTATTAGACTGTTCTTTTATAATTAAAAAAAACACAAAAAATATTTTTATTTGCAACTAGAGTCTCAGAAATAAATAAATATATGTAAAGGCTTAAAATTTATTTGGTTCTTCATTAATAACTTAAAAAAAAAAAAAAATTTATCTCAAATTGTGGTTTCTTTGCTACCAATACTGTAGTATATTAATTTAAGGTTCCAAGCACCTGACATTATTAAATGTTCACAATGGATAAAAAAATAAGGCTTTATTGCATTAATTAATTTTTAAGTAATTATATAAATTAAATAAAAACTAACCAACAATAAAGGATCACAATTCAATAATCAAAATTTATAAATATTAATATTGAAATGAAAAGTTAAAATAGAATACTTGATGCAACAGAAGTTACAAATAATATCTCCAACGAATCTCAGATTGGTAATCTTCAATTCAAATGAGACGCTATTTTTTTGTTCTAAATAAATAAAATAAAAAAATATTTACATTCAGTGTAGAGAGATTTTAGACATTATTCACTAGAAGCCAAGCGATCAGCTAGAATAAAATCCTTACTAAATATGAGCAGATTAATGTTTTACCCAAACATAACTTACTTTAACTTTCAAAGTTTCAGGATTCCAAACTACTAAATCTGGAACTCCACTTCTTGTGAATCTAAAATCTTTAGCTAATCTTTCACAGATTCCACACAGAATATGACTTCCTAAGCAAACAACTAGTCCCTAAATAAATAGGTTATTTTTTTTTAAAAAGTAATAATTGGTTTTAAAATTTAAAATAAGAACAAAATATTATCAAAACTAGTAAAAAACATAAATTTTAAAAAATTATCTGTATTTGTTTTATTTAACAAAAATAGGTACTGATTAATATTAACTGATTCATTTTAAAATATAATTATTAAAAAATCAAATTATTCAGGGACAATATAAAAAAGCAATGTGAACATAAATATATTCCAACACATTTAAAAAGGAGCTCTTCAGAAATTGCATTACCTGAACATATTCTAAATCTACAAAGTGATCCCATGACACAAGAGAGGCTTTACCATGATGATTTTCCCATGTAGTTTTCACTATTTCTTTCAAGTCCTAAGGAATTTAAAAAAAAAATCTATATTTAATATTTACACAATCTTACATTCATTTGTGAAATAAAAAGCATAAAAATGTTTTAAAAAAATGTAGTTTTGTAAGTACATTATTTAATGAAAATGTTGGAGTGGGTAAAAGTGGAACAATTAACAACATATTTTAATAGGGTTCAATAAAGTAACAAAAATATTAATTTTAGTTCAATTAATATTTTAAAAACAGTTAAAAAAACACATAAACTTACTTCATTTGAAGCATTTTTTAAAGCTTCTAAATGGGAAGTTATTTGTTTCTCACGATTCAGGAAAAATAAGTCTGTATTAAGGTCTAATGGATGGGTCTGATATGGACAAATAAATACATCAGGTATGCTGCCATCATAAATTATATCCCAAAACAGAAGCGCATAGAGGGATATAAAAGTAGAACCTTCACCATGAATACCTGCAAAAGTAAATGTATTCAACAAACTTGTGAAATTGGGAAGAAAACAATCCATCATGATCCTTAATATCGCAATATTCTGCTACGCTATATTAAAGGATAAAACTGTACAATTACTGTATATCCTGGAATATAAGTCGGATCTATGTTATTGATTACAAAATAGTAAATTTTAGGTATATAGGATGTATAAGTCGACCACTACAAAAACCAAAGTATGAAAATTTCTATTTCATTGTAAAATCTTTTAAAAAGAGTGGAATTAGGAATTCTTTTGATAGGGATGAAGACTATTTTTGTGGGGATGAATTAGAATCTGTTGCAGAGATGACACTGACTGCAGAGCAGAGTTGACTAAAACACTGCTAACAATATTAAATCTAACCCAGATGATGTTCTGGAATTTTCAAATTTGTAGTTTATGGTGAGCTTTAAAAGTTTGCATTGTGTTATATATTTTGAAATACTCTGAATAAATTATACTATTCTTATTCTTAATTTTATTTTCTGAATGTAACGTAAAGTACGGTTGCTGAAAAAAGCTTTATAAGTAAAGAAATTATATGAAGGAAAATGAAAAATTAATTGCATATTACATATTAAAAATAGTTTTTCAAAAGAGTAAATTGATACAATAGTTATTCATACCTATCTCCTTGTTTATAATGAAGTGATATTTCTCAATTTACAAATGGCCAAATTTATTGCCAATGTATAAGTAAACCCCTTGATTTTCATAAAATTTTGAGAGTAGAATTGAAAAGTAGACTGATACACTGATATACAATATATTAACTATAGAAGAGCAAAGTAAAAAAAAAAATTAAGAGCTATAAATTTTTCAGTTCATCTTTTATTATAGCAATTTGAAAATTTTATTACTGTGTACTTTACATACATTTACAGCAATATAAACATTTTACATAGACTGTAAACTATTTGATATTAACATGAAATTACACAAATACAAAAGCATGAAGTGATAATATCACTTTTAAAGAAACATAACTGATTCAAAGATTCTTGAAAAGGAATATTTTAATTAAACATGTTTTTTCAGTCAAGTTTTTAACTTATCTTTTTAATTTAGAAGTTAAGGTTAATTCAACTCGTCTGTTTTGAAAAGTTTACACATTGTTGTAGAATTTTTTAATTTTTTTTAAAAATTATTATTATTTTTTCATAAATATATATATTTTGTATAAGTAGGATCTCAGTCTTTGGCAACAAAAAAAAAATTGTATACTATTTTTCACAAAATTCTTAAAACAAGATTTTGGTAAAAAAATTCTGTATTGATACCTGTTAACTTTCGTATAAGACAGTTTTGAAATACAATGGACTGCGCTAACAATTCAAAGTTCTACCATAATTTAAAGTTAAGAATATCATATTAGCAATAATCTTTTATTAAACAAGTATATATAATGAAACAAAATGCAGTTAAAACTATTGAAATGAAAATTATTTAAACGTTTTTTTATGCAAAGAAAGAAAAAAAAATAACTATATGAATAAAAATATACAGTAAAACATAAATATCTCTAAAGCAAGTAACACAAAATAATTTGAATTTGATACACATTTATTAAACCTATAATAGATGAAAAAGCAATTATTGCCAAATTCATTTATACTTCTCGGTGATCTTCATTTTAGAGAATAGTTTAGATCACTAAAAAAAAAAAATTTATTTCTGAAGAATATTTGTAGCCTTGAAATTCAATTTTTAAAGACTTTTCTAGAATGATTTCATGAATTAGTTCTTAAGATTAAGTTTTGAGGTTTGAACATAATCCATCAACATAAGAAGATATCATAAAACAAGCATTGCCCTACATAGAAAAAATAAAAAATGGCGTGAAACACATAGAATATTTATTAAAATTTCGAAAAATACCAAACACAAAAGTATACAGCTATGCTATTTGCAATGAATACTGCAATCTGAATGTAATTTTTTTTATAGAATTTAGTTACTTTTATGAGTAAAAGCGTTATACAAATGAAACAATCGGCTCTCAATTTTTATCTACTTTTTGAAGAAGCTTGTTTAAGTAATCTTATTTTTAAGATTTGTGCTCACCCCCTTTTTTACCCCACCTAATATTGGCACTTTTTATTCTCCTTCATTTATTGTTGAGTTTTTCGCCATTTATTTTCTAACTATCCTTATTTTTCATTACATTCCTTTACCTGGTGTAATGAAGTTCATCCTTTCCAAAACAAGTAGCTGTATCATTCTGTGTATGGTGTTTTAAGAAGTTTTAATAAATATTCTATATGGTCCTACATCATTTATATTTTCACTGAGTTACTTGGAATAATTGATTACAATGTAGAATAAAATTGAAATGGAAATTTTACCTTCGGGATAACCATCTTCTTTGTAATGTTCTAAAGTAAGTTGCTCAACGTTCAAAATAGTAACTTCATCTTCATTAGAGCAGACACTTGAGGAAGATATAAAAACGTGTCTCCGTCCAAGTATAGAACGAGGACATAATCGCCCTTTTATGATAACCTGAAATTTTTATAAACATTAGAACATATTTTTATATGAACATATTGGATAACAAAATAAACGGAGTCAGAAGTCATTATGAAACCGCAATTACAAAATTTTTAAAAAAAACGTCATTACCACAAGGTTTACTTATTATTTATAGCATTATTTCTCAACCGCTCGCACATTTACGGTTAAATTTATTATTATTTGCGAATATCAATAACAAAACATACCTTTTTTCCCTACTTATAAACAAAAGGATTTCCTTTTTATTTATTTTGTATTTACCTTTTTCTTTGGCTACATACACATGGTTACATAATTTCGTTATTACACATGGTTACATAATTTCGTTTCGGTTACATAATTAATAACATAAATTTTAATTATATTTAAATAGGTTTATGCTCAAAACATTTCCCGAACAAAAGAGTATTTAAATAATTAGAAACAAACTGGTCAAAAAAAATTTCCATAATTTTGTATACATAAAAATTATGTAAGTAGTCTAAATTACTAAACTTACTGCTCCACAATAAAACATTGATAAATTTAACAAATCTGTGTAAGTCAAGTTGAAAAACATTGATCTATAAATAGTCAATTAAATAGAAAGGCTTAAAAAAAGGGGGATAAGATTAGCATATAAATTCTAAGAATCCAAAAAAACAAACATAAGCTTTAGTTCACTAATATGTGTGATCCGCCACAAAGTAATTAATGAAGTAAGGGGGGAAAATATCAAAAAACTGTGATGAAAGAAAACATTTGTGTTACTTTAGGAGCTTCAATGACATCTGCTTCCCTCAGAACTTGCTTTTTAAAATCATCTTCATCATCTAATGACTTTGTTAGTCTCAAGGCTCGTATAAGTAAAGAGTACCTGTATCCCTTTCTAACATTTTTATCTGATAGGGCATTTTGTATTTCCTTAAGAGCCTATAAATAAAAGAATAAATTTATATTTAATAATGAATTGTTAATAGAAGTAAAGCAAATGTCCAATATTTTTTTTAAACAGATAAGGTACAAAAATTTATTATCTTTGAAATTTAAAATTGCATTTTATTTTCAACTGAAATTAGATTAAAGAGTTGTTGTATATTTTTCTTTAACAATATCTCTGCATTGCAATTACATTTATCCACTAATTTTAACATTATTACAAAAAAAAATTCTAATACCTTAAAAAGAATTATCGGGTGTTTCATTTTAAATCATTTAATGTGTAAGTTTTACAATCTTTGAGAAATTCGACAAACTCTGAAACATAAAATTTCAGAACTTATTTGCATACAAAGCATTTTAAACTATTATTAATATTTAATTTGATTTGACATTATAATATTAAAGAGTATTCAAATTTGATAAAAAATTTCATTGATATGTTCCGCAAATCAATCTTCCAATATTTAAAATCTGATGGAATTTTATTTTAATCCAGAAATTAATTATATAATAATCCAGCAATTAATTATATATTAATTATATAGTTAATAATTATCCAGCTAAATAAACAAAAATAATATAAAAATCTTCAACTAGTCACTGCTCTAGTAATATGCAATTGTTATATAATCTGCTATTTTAAAAGGATACTAATACTGTTATGAATTAACAAGTGTATGATTAACCAATTAATAATAATAATAACATTAGTTTCTTGAAGTCAATTGAAAAAATTGTTTACATTTATGCACTTTTAATCATGTGTGATGCATTCTTATTAATGATGTTATTTTTAATTATTCCAATGTTCATTGTAAAATAAAGTAATTTTGATTATGACTCTAACAATTGTAAACATTTATATGTACAACTCACCCATGCAGATAATTGTTTTGTGTGTATTGTTAATTATATTTAGCCTTCCAAATTTAGCTTTAGAAATTTTTGAAGTAAGCATAAATTTTGCAAAGTAAACTTAGAAAGAATGCAATTCTAATTTTGCATATTGCCTGTAAAGTCATTAGGGATATCAATAAAAGAACAGACTTAAATCCATCAAGCCTGGATCAAGGGTAATCACACTAAAACTTTTTAATCATCCTATTTGTCATTCATTATATACCTTATATAATTCTTAAAATAAAATATTTAATTTATGTTTTCTTACTTCTTGGGGCTTTTTTAAATGTTGCTCCAAATTTAAAGCTAACCTATCGTACCACCGGCCTTTGTAATCCTGACAAAATACCTAAAAGTTACAAAAAATGATGTTAATAATTCTAAAAATAGAGTCAAAGTAGGATTTTTTTTTTTAAAAGTCGATTGAATAAAAAATTCTTACATTTTGATGCAATAGCATGCGCAATAAAGAAACAGCTTCTTTATACTGTCTTAACCTTTGCAGAATTTCAACACCCTGAGTCATGCAGCGAATATAAACATGATAAGGAGTATATCTTTTCAGAAAAATAGGTAAAGATGAAGATCTATTGAAAGATTAAAATAAAAAATAATAATAATGAAATGGTTTAAAGAAAAAGAAACAACATGCATAAATTTACCACACGATAATTCAGTAGGTAAAGTAAAATAATGATGAATTTCAATTTTCTCTTTAAACTTTACAATAAAATTACACTATAAAATAGTTTCAGAAAACAAGGAATTTTTTTTGTATTTGTTTTTAAAACATTGTTCGCAAAAAAAACTTTTTTTTATAGTAGAAACCTTTCAGCATGGCAGTTATTAACAGAGAATTGGCAGATTATTTTTCCTCAAAGGGAAAATAAAAGATTTCTCTTTCATCCTTGATGAAAGATAAAGAAGAATTTTTTCCTTATGAAATTTGAAAAAAAAAAAAATCTTATAATCTCATAAGCAAAAATTTACTAAACTATCTAAACACTTTTAAATCTAAAACCAAAACAGTAGTCTGCAGATATTTAGCTAAAGAGTAATTTCAAAAATTCTTAAATCACTCTCTTTAAATTAAATTTCATAAAAATAAAAAAATAAAAACAATAAATATTGAAGAAGAAAAATTTTTTTCAAAGTGGTTCAAGAGCTATATCATGATTTATGCAAATTTTTTCAAAGTATTGCAATATAAAATTCTAAATAAAATAATATAAATTTATAGCAACATAAATAATCTTATAAAATAATTCAATAATTATTACTTATTATAATTACTTTTTTAATTACTCTTATTACTTGTCTTTATACTTCTACGAATTTTACATTTAGATATTAAATTAAATGTATTTACTGAAATAATTGTCTTAAAGGAATCAAAGACAAATTTGAACTATGATTGACTCAGTAAATTCGGCTACTAAGAATGTAACTAGAATTTGCATATAAATTCATCTAGAATTTACTTTCATACCAACAATTTTCTGAATAAAAGAAAAGCATTATTTCTCAAATGTATAAAGCTGACTAAAGCATGATTTTCTTCATATATTTAAATAAATTGGCAATTGTTTCACAACAGGTTACAAAATAAGTATTACAATCATAGCTTAGTGGATATGTGGAACAATTTATTCTGGTATAGACATTTTTTAATCGATTGTTATTGTATCTATTAAATTTAATATCAATTTACTACAAGTCACACATTTCTTTAACAGAAGAAAACTGATAAACGCTATTTTTATTATTATTATAATAAATAAAAATTAAACGATGGGGAATTTTTTGGATTTTAGTCCTAAGTTGAATATTGCAAACTGTAGTTTGTTTGTAGTTTTACTTTGTTTTATTGAAATATGTAAGGATTTATTTTCAACTACATTCTGTTCTATTTTATAAGTTTTTATATTTTTTCATTATAGCATTTATTGATATAACTTTAATCTATTATAAAAAACACATTAGTTTTTCTTAATCTAGGTTTTAAAATCTAAATTTTTAAAATTGAGTAACACCAGATTTTTTTTTAAAATTATTTTTTAGGCTACTAAAGGTCAGAAGTTGAGTACTGCAAATGTAGCTTAATAGAAATATGAAATTTAAAAAAAATTAAGTATATTTTATTCTAGAGTATGCATAAGTTTTTAGTATTGTGTTATTATTATATTTATTTACCATTAAATATGATCTTAATAAGTTATAAAACATACTTATAGTAATGTATAAAATGAATAAATAAGATAGTTAAAACCATTCTACAGTTTTATAATGAACAGAAATATCTTATATACTGGATGATAAATATAAATTTTGTTGTTCACTTAATATTTCATATTTTTCTTTAATTTAATTTCCAAAATTATGCAACACTATTTTCCTTTTAGTAAACAAAAGTTGTTACTTTGGCTAAAAAATCATATGTATAAAGGCTTCAGAAACTATAATGAAATTTTATGTATTAAATATTCATTTTGGAGTCAACATTTAGTGTAAGAAAGCAAGAAATAAGGTTCATATGATATGTATTTATATTCACTTCATTATATTTAACAAAAATCCTCCCAGGAGTTAAAAATTTATTAAGTAAAAATACTAACTCTAGAATATTTATCAAATTGTTAGCATTCTACAGCAAAATATTTTATAAATTGGTAGAGCATGTTGCACAACCCATAAATAATTTCAATAAACATTAAATTTTACAACTTTTTTTTAAAATTTAACAACACTTTAAAGGTAAAAATATTAAAGCAAAGTGGCTTTTTTAAACACAGATTTTTCAACTGTTTATATGCAGGGCAGGCAAAACCATTCCAAACTAAATTTACTAAACCAAAAGTTAAATAAAATTTGAATTTTGCTTCTACCAAAAAAAGAAAAAATCAAGTTGGAAGCTCTGATGCCAACAAATGTATTGAAACATGTTTACAGATATGAACCATTTAGTTAAACAAAAACCATGCATGAATTTTCAAATATCAATACCTTTCAATATAATCTCTTGATAACTGGTCTTCATATTCTTCTTTTGCTTCAATAAATAATTCTTTTGCTCTTTCGAATTTCTTATGTTCAACTGCAACAAGAATATCAGTTTCTAACTGCCGAGCTTCTGCATACCTGAAATATAGTAGATATTTTAATATTAATTGGGTAAACTAATTGAAAAACTGCATAATTATAACTGCATAACATATAATAAAGCACTAGTTCCTGAAAGTGTTTACTTAGAATAATTAATATGTCATATAATGTGTTTTATAAAATGGCACTAATTTATAAATGCAATTTTTAACTTGAAGCTCACGGTTCAAATTTAAATAAATCTCTCATTAAAATTTTTTTAGATAAAATTATAACCAAGTCATTTATAATATTTGAAGAAATACAGAAAGTAAATAATTCAGGATGGAATCTGTTTATAATAGTAAAACTTAATGTTAGCGATTTCCCATATCCACAGCACCTACTTCCATACAATACTTTTAAAAACACATCGCTATGGACAAAAAGGAAAGACTGATTCTGGTTCTTATATTAAAAAAACATATTAAATGAGGATAATGATTAATTTTAATTTTAAAATGAAACTGTAGACAATATATTGAAAAAATAAACACAAAAGAACAATATAGATATTTAATTCAATAGTTCTTGAAAGTGTTTACTTAGCACAATCAATTAGTCATTTAATCTGAGCAGTAAAATGGCAGTAATTTATAAATGAAATCTCCAATTTGAAGCTCACTCCTCTATTTTAAGTATTACTCCTCAAAAGAGTAAAATCACTCTCAAAAAAATTTTTGGGAATAAAACTGAAGCCAAGCAATCCATAATTTAATAAATATAGAAACTGAACACAATCATGCTGGAATCTGTTCATCAAAATAGAACTTAATATAGCAATTTGCCTTATCCACTACACCTATTTCTCAAACAATACTTTCAGAAACACATAGCTACGGATATTCTTAGAAGTAAAAAGAAAAAGGTGATAATGGTTTTTATACCAAAAAATACATAAATAAATTGATGCTTAATAACAATTTTAAAATAAAGCTGAAAAACAATTATGAATTTAAAAAATTAAATAAAGGCAAAAAAGAAAATCTAAAATAGCATTAGCTCTTTTCATCATCTAACGACATTTCATGAAGTTACCTTAAATTTTGTCATACCTGTTCTGAAACTTCAACATAAAAATAATTTTTAAATTCGTTATTTGAGTAAAACTCATAAAAATCAAAAAATTTAAAAACTATATGAATAAACAGACACTTGAAATTTACTTACATAAAGTAAGAATTTAGCTTTTATTCTTAATTTACTGATCTTTGAAACATCGATTTAAATGATATTGAATATAAATAGAGACTATGGGTGATGGTTTGTTGTTTTAAGATAAGTTATTTTCAAGTATTCAGATTTGTGAGAATTTGTACTGTACTATTTTTTAGTTGTGAGATGCATATTTATGAGTATTAAAGAATAGTTTAAGGGCAGAAATATTAGAGGATTCTTATTGAATCTAATGCCCATGAGCAAACATTTATTTGATACTGATAAATCATATGTTTCACTTATGAGTTGAATATTTACTGACAGTAATAAAGAGTTTATGCATTATCAAATCTTCATTGCGAACATTTAATATAGAGTGATGTAATAAAGTGGAACTTCTAAGAGTTCCAGTATTTGTTAGAACTTTTACCGTGTGGCAAAAAAGACACAAATAATTAGCCACAAATTGCTGGTAATTAAAAACAATCTTTTAAAAAGTTGCTGCTACCTGATAACAAATCATTTCAAGTTGAATTATAAGAAAGGTATTTGGCTTGTATTTTATTTTTTATGTTTTGTTGAAACATTTATTTTAAGTACAGCAAATAGATTTAGAGTGGTATTTTAGTTTCAACCCTTGTTATGGAAGTATTTGAATTTCAAATTGTATAAAACTCCATGGTTAAAACTTCAAGACACTAAGACTGAAAGATATTAATTAAGAAACTACAGAAAATAAAACATAAGAGGACACGAGCGTTTCACTAACTAATAAAGCATTATTCTACACCATACAGGTATATGATTAATAAACTATATCTCGGGCTAAGATCACACTATAGATAACAATAATTTATTTAAAGGCCAAAATGGGTACTTTGTGTCACCATTAGCAGGTCATGGCTTTGCCTTGCCAACTAATTATTAATTGAAAAATAAAGATATCAATACCTAATAAGTTCATCTCTATTTGCAAAAATAGCAATTTCTTTGGTGCATTTATACTCAGGAAAAACTAGTTCACCTTTATTTACTTGTAGAAGAGTAAGTCTGAAAATTAAAATGAGATCAATGAATACTAAACAACACCTTAAACGTATTTAATTTTAAAACAGCACAATCAATTTTAAAATATTTTACTGGTGGTGACAAAAAGCATCTCTCAACAAGTGATTTGAATTTTATGAAAGTCTTTTTGGAAAGAAACAAAGTCACTATAAAACAGTTTTTATCCTCAAAATCCATTTTAGTTTATATAAATTTGAAAGTTCTTTTAGATTGAGATAATTTGATTGTAATTTGTTTATTTTAGTTATAAAATAAAAAAATTTAATCATACATGCCTCAGTAAGCATGTATGATTGCTTTTTTTTTTTATTTATGTTAAATGAAGCTTCTTTAACAAAAAATAATAATAAATATTATAAAAAAAAAATTTTCAATGTTTCTTCAAAAACAATTTTATTTATTTTATATTTGTTTATAATTATTATGTTTGTTTCTATAATATTTTGATGCAAAATGAAATATCAAAGTAAAAAAGAATATATATATATATAAAAACTTTAAAAAGCTATTTCTTATTAAAACTAATCAATAAAATTAAAGAATAGATATATGGATTGGTTCAGAGAAAAATTGGTCAGAAATCGGTAGTCCTAATCCCTTGTATGGGACAGAATTATGTCATAAAATCAAAATCGATGAGTAATCGGGAGACATTTACGGGAGTTTACTTCTTACATATATAAAAAATCAAGCTATAAAACTATGAGCAAAATTAAGTAATAAGCTGATATAAAAACGTTTATCAAGAGACCATACATCTGTTATATGTTTTTATAATAAATAACAGGGCAAAATCATGAAAATAAAATCACGGATGCATTTTTCTTTTTAGTTTATTTGCAGTTCTATAGCAGCCAAATATCATAACTGCCATCAAAGCAATAACTTGATTGAATTGAATGTGAAGTTTAACGAGAAAAGGTCCAAAAATGAAACACTAATTAGACAGTCCTTGTTATAATAGTAATAAAATGTCTATGTCTGAAAGCTTATGAAAGAGGTTTGGATGTCATATGATAAATATCAGCTGATTGGAGTTCTACTGTAACAACAAAACACCGTCAGAAATTTAACTTAGAAAGTTGATTCAGCTAGTTAAAATAACCACACAAAAAAATCAATTAAAAAAACTTTTTAGCTAATTAAAAATAAAATAAAATTAAATTTATATTTTTTAGTTACATTAAACAGAAAAAATAAAAGGCTTTACAGTTGCTGTTGTTGACCTCCTGCAGCAGAATCATCATCATCTTCAGACAACAACGTAAGGTTGAAAAGCATTAATATTCTTGTAAAAAGCTTCTTTGGTAAAAGTGACAACCTGTAACAAGGTCCTATTGTTTGCTTAATCCTAGAAAACACAGTAAGCTAAATGTCAGGAATCTAAGCTTGATTTTCGCATTTTAGGAAGAGCAATAATCATAAGTAAAGATATTAAATGAACACACACTTTTTTAGAATCATCTTTTCAATGCCATTTTTATCATTCATAAAGAACACTGATTTGTGCTGTTTACTATGTTTGATAAGCATAGATTTTATCTCTTCTTTATTTTTTGCAGAATTGAAATTAAAATGTTTTGCCAAACATTTAGCCTCAGGCAAAGACAAGAGATTTAGTGCAGTCTCTAAATCCATATCACTGATGCCTGAAAAATATAAGTAAAAAAAAAATGGAAACTTGTGTATATTAGTCATTATCACCATAAAAATAGCCCACCTAGAGAGAGTCGTAAGAATAAAATGCAATTTTACATACGCAAGTACAACATTGATATGAGATTAAAAAATCAAAGCAAAATTGTTGTTAATTGGCAGTCAAGACTATCATGTACGTAGGGGAGGCTACTTGATGAAAGCCTCAATCCTGCTTATGCTACACAGTAGCACACCACTTCTACAGCTGGATCGCATACGACACAAAACCATACCTTATAATGATTCATGGTACCGTGACTGTCAAAAGTTACACTTGTGAAATCCTTTAGCCAAATGCATAGCAGGCAGGGATCCCGCTCAGCAATTTTCAACAAGAGAATGCTTCGCCTCACACAAAGAGTGTCACAGATATGCCTTTGTCACATTATCAACATTCCCTGGCCTGTTTGATCAATGAGCCATCATATCTGAAATGATTTGTCAATGAGTCAGCATATCGGAACCAATTATGGACAGCAAAAAGCCGAACCTTCGAACTTAGTTGATTTAGTGGTGTCTTCACAGCAACAATGGAATATGATGCCGCAGAACATCATAAAGAACTAGTACGCCTCAATAATGCATGAGCAAATCACATCCTGCATTCATGCTAGAGGTCGCTTAAGGGGTACTTATTTGTATTTTTTCTGGCAACAAATCATCATTTTGCTTTGATTTTTTAATCACTTACTCATATCAATGATGTACTTCCCTGCATGAAATTTCACTTCATTCTGACAACTCTTTCTAGGTATGCTAATTTTTATAGCAATGAGTATATATCTATATTATAAAGTAAAATAAAATAAAGGGAAAAAACAATTATCTAAATTTATATCTACAAAATATCTTTTCCAGAATAGGACAAATTTGAATAATCTTTTTAAATAAAAAAAAGGTGTACAGTTACTATTCTAAAGAACACAAAATTAATTACTTGAATCAACTAGACAAGCTTTAGAAAGCTCCTCTAAACATAGGAATGCATTGGTAGTAATATCAGGATAATTAATTTTATCACATCTTAACCATTTATATTTTCTTTGGAATAGCCGAACATACAATTTTTGAGAAGTATCTAAAATGTAAAAGATTACAAATATCAGAAAGACAAATAATATAATGTTGCTCACTTTTAATGAAAATATGTTTTATATGTATTATGAATCAATAAACATATGATAAAAACAAACATAAAAAATTTCAATAATCATACCATATTTAAAGATCAATGAGCAGTTGAAGGTAATGAATAAAATTGTCTTATTTTCTATTTATCTAAATTATGTAAATAAAATTTAAAATATGAATGGGAAAAAAACTAAAAATTATATGAATGTAAATGAAAATGCTTTGTTTAATTTGGAATAAAAAACAGAAAATCAAAACAAAGAACAGACAATAATAGGTGTAATGTGATATCGATGATGAAAGAAAGCAGTTTCTTTTAATGTAAATTTACAAAATAAGAAATCACAAAAATTGAGGGTATTTCTCTGACTAAGTTGACAGTGTTTAATTTTTTTGTAAATGATAAAGGGTTAGAGTGCTGCCTTTTAAAAAAGTACAGAACATATTAAAAAAAAACCATTCATATTTTAGTAAAAACTTACACGCACCAATTTTTTAAAAGTAATTATGACAAATTCAGTTAAAAAAAATAATTATTACTTATGAAATTGTTTTTTATTTTAAAATATTTTTGAAGTTTGATAAATAGGTTAGACAAAAGAAACAGAGGCTATAGATTCTGTAAATATTAAATAATTTTAAAACAATATTAGAGTTCGAAAAAAAAATTAAATAAATTTTTAAAGTATTAATAGTTTCAAAATTTCTAATGTTTTCACTGTAATTTAAGTTGGCACTTACTTAAAGAATATTATGATTTACCTATACATTTTTTTTAATAATAAATTATTTTTATTTATGTGGAATTTTTAAAGCATCTGATATTCTAGTAAAATCACTATTTTTACCTTTAATAGGATGTGTGACAAATGGTTGAAAGTGGTGTGCTAAATATTAGGCTGATGCCCTTAACTTTTAAAATTTTTGTAATTTTGGTTCACTAAGTATTTTTTCAGTATTTCACAGTATTTTTAGACAGAAAATAAAAAGTTAAGAATCTCAAATGTTTTGCATCAAAGTTTTTTTTAATACTTAGTGACATTACCATATTATTAAACCATACAATAAAAAACCTCAAAGCAGCAAGTTTGCGAGGGGAACCAAACTGGTTATGAAATTTTAATTATTAATGAAACTATTAATGAAATTTTAGAAATTTTTAATAAAGCTATTTCAGAGTGATAACAAGAAATTTCAAATAATGCATTGAGAAATAATACAATTAAAAACAAATCTTTATAAAGAATGATAGATTGAGAACAAAAATTTTACAAGCAAAGTTCTAACTATAATCGCAATAGCACACAACATAGAAATGTAATACTTTAGACGTTTACTGTAGAACTTGTTTAAAACACTATAAAATTCATTTATATAATTTAGGCAGAAATGATTAAAAATTAAAATTACCTAAAAAATTGAAAAGTTAAACACAATAATTAAATTTAATCTAAAAAAGCAATTTCAACTAACTATAAATACACATGGCTTACATTTATTCATTAATAACCAGGGATAAATAAACAATGTTATATTAATATTTATATTAAATGCAATGAAAAAAAACTCAAACATATACCTGATATGGAATTAAAAGCATTCACAAAATTCATATCTTCTTCATTAAAAAGAATTTTATTATCATCTACATTTAAAACACAATGTAAAATATGTCTAAAATTGGCGATGTAATAGGGTGTATAAGTTTGCTTTGTAGATTCAGGCTCTTCTTTTTCATTACTATCTGATAACTCAGAAAATGCACTCATGTCATCTAAACATTGTTTAACATCATCTAATTCTTTATTCACTTCAAGTGATACATTTTCATTTTTAAAATTACTTTTTTCTATCTTTTCATGCATATCTATAGAATTATTATTCTCATTTTCAGTAGATAATGTTTTCTCAGTTTTCATATTTTTACTTAAAGGAGAAAAAGTCTTGCGAGAGTGCACTTCAAAATTTGGACAGCTATCATTGTTCAACTCATTATTAATACATTGAGACGATCTTAAAGGAGCAGAGATTTGACAAGAGCTCACTTCAGAATTCAGATATACGACATCATTGTTCAACTCGTCATTGTTTCCCTGAGAACAAGATGTTGATACTTGAACTGCAACATTATAATTCTTATCACATGCAACATGAACTTCAATCTCAGTTTCTAATTTAATAAGCTTTGTTGGTCTATTAAATTTAGTAGATAAATTACTGGATCTTTTAGAATTTCTCTTTAATGTGGTTTTTTTTAAATTCTGAAAGCTGTCATTGCTTAACTCATTATTATTCATTACAGATGATTCTGAAAGAGAAGCTGGACAAGAGCTCATATATGAGACATCATTGTTGAACTCATTATTGTTCTCCTGAGAGCAAGAAGCAGGTATTTTGATCATAGCATTGTCATGAGTTTCTGATTTGACGAGTTTTGCTGAACGGTTAGATTTAGATACGTTACCAGACCTTTTAGAATTACTCTTTAAGGTGGTTTTATGACGTGAAGTAATTTCATAACTATGTTTAGAAGATGATGTATGTTCAGTACTTTTTATTTTTTCATTTGACTTGATCTTTAATTTTGAATTTCTTTTGACTGGAAATGAGGAAACTAATGGTTTGGCATTCAAATCATTTCCGATTTTTTTACGGGCATTTATTGATGTCGGCACCTCATTTAAGAATACAACTTCATCATCCAAATCACTTAGTACAGTTTGGTTAGATATTTTTTCTGCAGTAGCAGGTTTTGACGGTTTTTTCCGTTGAGTTTTTAAATTAAGCCTGCTCGATGTTTTAGTTTTTTTAATGTGATTAGGATTACTTTTCTCACTTGAAAGCGAACTTTTAAGCTGATATTCAGATATTGCACTAGAACAATTATTATCTAAATGCTCATTTAATTTTGTTTTAAAGACAATTAGATTACAAGCAGGGCAGTTAACTTTTGTAATATCAGACTGACACGTAAAATAATCTAAAATGCTAGACTTTTTCATCCCTTGTAAAACAATACAAAATAACCTTAACTTTAAAAAAATATTATAAAACTAAAAAAAAGTAATAAACGATGTATATTTTGAATATTTTTTAAGCGTAGCGTACAATAATTATTAATATTACAACATTAAGAAACTATATTGTTTAAAAAATTAATTAAATGCCTCACAACAAAAGAGCGGCACAAAAAACAGTTTATTGTTTATTTATATTATGATTACTACCGTTTCCGGCTATTAACTTTTAGCAAGCTCAATCTCACTAGATTTTAACACAGAAATAAGAATTTCTAAACTCTCTAAGGAATCGTTCCCGCTTTATGTGAATCACACACATGCAATCCAGATGAAAGGAGCCCCAGGGCATAGCCATCAAGAAATAAGGTCGTTTAACAACGTCATAAGCAGATTTTAACTGAGTAACAGCAAATTTCTAATATTTATCATTGAACAATCAACAACAGGTTCATTTGTCCTTTGGTTGTACTGTTCTTTACATCTATTATTATATAAATTTTACACATGCCATATGCATGACATATACATTGTTGCTGTAGTTCATTTGCGTCACACTAGAGCTGCTCAATGGGCTATTGGCAACGGTCTGAGAAGCATCCCTGAGGAAGATTCGAAGACATGCCATCACAATTTTGATCCTCTGAAGAGGGAATGGCACCCCGCGTCGGTAGTTTATCGACCTGCACGCGAAGTCGAGCACTTTACGGTAGAACAGTTTAACGAGGACCAATACCGCACAACCTCTGTCCCTACCCAGACTGATCCAATGGGTCACCCACCCGCACACTGACCGTAGCCAGTGATGTTTAACTTCGATGATCTGCTGGGAACCGTGTCTTAACAATCGGTATCAGGATTTATCAAAAATATTGTCACTTTATAATAATTTTTATGATCTTGTTGACAATTCAGCTTAAAAAAGCCCCCCCCCCAAGCCAAATGCAATGTTGAAGGTTGGAAAGTACCAGCCTTGAAAAAAAAAATTTTATCAGCTCGACCTAGGCCGACTGAAAAACAAACCTGAAGTGGAATCAGCCCAAGCTCATGATTTTGGTAACCAGCAAAAATCATGGTTCTTTTAGCTCATGAAATGATTATCTTAGCTCATAAATTGTTGTTGTTGGCTCTTTAAATGGTTCTGTTGTCTCATCAAATGAACAAGGAATTGGTTATTCTGCCATTCAGTTTTAACTCTCGGTAGCTGTGCCAAGTATCCATTCCAAGTATCCATCCGAGGAGGATCCGATGTTAATGATATGCATGTAGTGAGAATAGTCCATGAGTATTTTCACAAAAGTAGTTAATGATCAGAGGTGTGAATGGTATGCAGTGAGCATAGACATAAAGGAGGAAGATGAATCACTTCACCTGGAGGGCGTCACGGTGAAGTTGAACATTGTAGTCTGTACTCTATGCTCGCGCCATCTAGTGACCATTTATATAAAATTTTGTTCTCAAATATTTTTAAAGAATTATCAAAGAGCTTATGTTTGAAACATAACGATAGAATGTAAATAATATTTAAAAGTTGAGTCTTCAACGATATCAATGCTAAAAAATATAATTATTTATACGAAGCGACTGTGCGAAATATTATTTTATTAAATATTTCGTATTTTTACATTTACTACAGTAACTTTCAAAGAAAAATACCAAATATCATAAAGTATTTTTTGTTGAAATTTTTTTATTTGTTTGTAGTTTTCAAAGAAAATAAATTGCGATTTTTTTCGTTCAAAAATAAAAAAAACGTCCCAATATTGTAAAGTCAAATCATTACATTCATAAATCAAGGAATACATAAAAAGTTTTTAGATTAAATAATCATCCGTATGAAAAATAAATACGTCTACAATAGTTTTTTAAAAAAATTATTTTGAGTTGGCATTTTTGTTATTATACCTCTTGATTTTATTTATAAGAAAATTAAAAAACTATAATTAAAAGCTATTTTCTTGCATGAAATTTACACAATTTGGAATTAATTGCACTGCTTTATTATTTTAGTTTTAATGGTACTTTTAGTAAATTGTAAATTCCTTTACTGTAACTATTTACTTTTCTTACAACTAAATTATAGTTAAGCTTTTATTTTCATTTCAATAATTGAAGAGAAAACTTTATTTTGACCAAATATCAAGAAAAATAAATGCTTAATTATCATTGATAATAAAATCCATTTAAAAAGCTGTTAAAATCATTTTTAACAAGGCATCATACCTTACAATAAAATGAAAACTTATATTTATTGTAATGAAGTATTAGTGTAACTAATAAAATTTCAAACTCTACACATACTATAAATAATAATAATGTATACATACTCATGCTTAAGAATCATTTGAGACATGAGAATTTCAATATTCCTCCATCATGCTTTGTCAATAAAAACTAACTCAGCCAAAAGATTGAGCTATGATGTCTTGCTAATCAATAATTCAAGTTCATCAAATTGCCAAAGAAAGAATCCAACCAAATGTTTAAATTATATTGGGTTTTTAAGCAATTATACTGAAACCCTAATGCAATTCAACATTTAGTTCTCAAAACTTCAGAAAATAAAGAGCTATCTGAAAATATAATTTAAACTTCCAAACATGTAATTAAATTTAAAAAAAAGTTTAATATCAAAGTTTAAATAAAGGCATTGAATTAATGCTAAATGTTAAAGCTTATATAAGTTTTTTTTCTACCTTTATATTCTTCAAATTAAGTTCATAATTAAATAATTTTTAATTTATGTGGCCTACAAAAAAAATTGTTCCATGTCTCCATGATACAATGTTAAATTAAATAACTATTTCAATTGAAAAAAAGAATTATAAAAATTGGACTCCCGTACATATCTTTTAAAATTTCATAAAATAAAGTATGATTATTGAAAACTATATTGGATAATTTCAAGCAGTTCTTATGAGTAAAGAAAAATATAAAAAATATTTAAACCCACAAACATCCTATTAAAATAAATATTCAAAAAAAAAACAATTAAAAATTTAAGCTTTTAACAAAATATTACTTACTTTGTTACAATAGAGAAATAATACACATAAGCTCAGAAATAGTGCAGAAAAAATTGCACATGATAAATATTTGACTCAATTCTGTCTATTTGTTTGACTTAATCACATGAGTTTGAATAATACCAAAAGGTTACATGGCCCTGTACACAGGGTTAAAAATAAAAAATGTATGATATAAAATAATTTTTCTACTAAAAAGTAACTAAAATTAAATTATAATATTAAATATTATATGATTATTGAATACATACCTAGATTTAAGACCAGGAAGTATCAAAATTTCTAATCTTCTATACCAACCTTTTCAATAAGAACTCTACACATAAAACTCATTCGGCTAGAATATGGTATACTAGGATTCACAATTACACTTATACTACTCTTGCTTCACTGTCCGCCATTTGGCCAAGAAGTAATCTAACCAAACGTTTGAACTGTATTGGATCTTTGCAATTTCACTTAAACCCTAATATAGTTCAACATTTAGTTTATGTTGGAATCTGTTGAAAATCTGAAAATATAGCTTAAACGTGCTGAGATTTTAAAAATAATTGTTAAGTAGAAACTAAAAAATAAATAATAAAAAAGATTAAATTTACATGAAAAAAGTACTATGTAAAAATATAATAAAATATGGGACAAAATTACTAAAAAAATCTAGTAGTATTAAAAAAAAATATTTTAAAGAAATATTGGAATTTATTATATCATCTAAAGAATTCATTTTAGAATAAACTATAAATATTATTAAATACATATCAAAGTGAAACATCAAACAGGAAAGTAATTCTCATCAAACTCTAGAAATTATGTCAAATAACAACAATACTAATTAATAATATCAAAGTTTCAGACATTAATAAAAGCATGCATTGAGAACAAAAATATTATAAAATACTTAAAAATAACAAAACTGCATGTAAACCTGTAACTTTTCCAGCTTCAACTTGATGCAAAAATCACATGCAACATAAAATTAATTATTAATACATTTATACATAAAAAAAATCCTGACGAAAAAATTGCAAAGTTCTAGACATTAATAAAAGCATGCATCAAAAGAGAAAATATTATAAATTTTCTTTAAAAGAAATAAATATATAAATTAAAATAACTGTATGTGTAGATATCAGTAAAAGTTTCCAGACTCCAGCCAGATGCTAAAATTACATGAAACACAAAATTAATTATTAATACATTTATGCATGATAAAATCTTGATGAAGAAATTCAAACATCAAAAAGCATGCATTGAAAAAGAAAATATTATATAAGTAATTCGTGAAAGAAATATATAAAACTGTAGGTATAGCTCCAGCCAGATGCTAAGATTACATGCAAAACGAAATTAATTGTTATTACATTTACGCAAAATAAAATCTTGATGAAAAATTGCAAATAAAATTAAAAGCATACATTGAATTAAAAAAGAACTGTAGGTATAAATTTCTGTAAAAAGTTTCCAGGCTCCAGCCAGATGCTAAGATTACATGCAAAACAAAATTAATTGTTATTACATTTATGCAAAATAAAATCTTGATGAAAAATTGCAAATAAAATTAAAAGCATACATTGAATTAAAAAAGAACTGTAGGTATAAATTTCTGTAAAAAAATCCAGCCTCCAGCCAGATGCTAAGATTACATGCAAAACAAAATTAATTGTTATTACATTTATGCAAAATAAAATCTTGATGAAAAATTGCAAATAAAATTAAAAGCATACATTGAATTAAAAAAAAACTGTAGGTATAAATTTCTGTAAAAAGTTTCCAGGCTCCAGCCAGATGCTAAGATTACATGCAAAACAAAATTAATTGTTATTACATTTATGCAAAATAAAATCTTGATGAAAAATTGCAAATAAAATTAAAAGCATACATTAAATTAAAAAAGAAATGAGTATAAATTTCTGTAAAAAGCTTCTGGGCCCAGTCAGATGCTAAAATTACATGCAACACATAAACAGCTAATAAATAACAAAGAAAGATGCATGCAATTTCAATGAAAATCTTAGCACCACTCTGGTATTAATAAAACATGCATCACAAAGGAAAATACTAAAAACAATAATCTTAGGAAATATTTCAAATACAGTCAGATATTAATGTGCATGCAACACGGAAACAATAAATTAATAACAGCTTTTATATGTAAAAAAAAAAAGACTTAAAGATGACACTAAATCTCAATGTAACAAGAGAGATTTTAAAAAACAAAAATAAATCTTAAACTTAAAGAAAAATTTCCAGGCATCAGCCAGATTTAAATGCACGCACGCACATCACATTCATTCCATTCTGCATTATACACACATAAATTAATATAACCACACACACCAATACACACATATATACACATAAAAATTATACATCGTAAAACATATATATATCAAGGTTAAATAAAATACTTGCACAGGTTCAGAAACATAGACATTATCAAACCTGTCAACTTTTAAATGTTCTGAGGATGAATATTCCAAGTAGTAGTGAAAAGATAATAGAAATAATTATGTCAATTTGCCAAGACTTAAAATTGTTTGAATAAATTACATTTATACATATGTTTACATTAATGCATATGATTGATTTGCTGCAGTGATCAAATCAAATTAAATAAATTTAAAAAATTAATAATTAGAATGAAATTTAAAATTGCATCATGACATTAAAAATGGAATATTAAGGAAAATCCAAAATGGTTGGCAACTGTATCATGTTCATCTTAGAAATAATTATGTAAAACAAATGAAAAAAATAATTATATCTGGAATAATTATGTAGTTTCCAGAAATTAAGTACTAATATTTACAAACATTACAATTAACTCAATTCTCAATAATTTCCAAATTCACAGAAATATTATATATCTACAACATGAAAGCTATTGACAAAATATATCTTTCAAATAATTATGCTAAATACAAGCATCAACAAAAATCTAATATTATGGATGTAATAAAAAAACAATTTCTTTTGAAAAATAAATTTAGATAGAAATTTTTTCAAATATTCGCCAGACATAACAATTAGCAAATATATTATCAATTAAATTAAAAAATACATTTATAAAATTTTAACAAAAATAAGTAAGTTTTCCCTGAGTATCATACAATATTTACAACACAAAAATTCTCATTTAAAATAATAATGCTTTACAACTTCGACAGTTTCCGATACTTTCGGGTTTTGTCGTCCTTTATTTTATCGATTTTGTTAGAACGATCACATAGGAAATGCATTCGTGTGATTAAAAAAAAATGAATTAGTGATTTAGTAAGACTCTCACTATGCGATGGGCACCCAACCAAAGGCAATGGCATTCCATCAATGTTACTAATAATGTCACTTAATGAGTTTACATTGAGATTACTATCAGTAACAGTTCTCAAAGTAGCCTCCTCCAACAGTGAAATGAGGTTATAAAGACTTTCTGATGGACTCAATAAGCCTCCTCTATTTTTTACATTAATTAGTAATTCATGCCTCTCATCGGATTTGGCAGCAACAAGAGATGTTAAGCAGAAAGTGCAGCTTGAGAATTTTGCTGCCCGACGAGCAACATAACCAGAAAAATAACCGATGATAACCTCATTTGAATTAATGGCATTGTACGTGTGATCAGTTACATTTTCTAATAATGATGGCACTTCAACCAAGTCAACACTGTTTTCGATGATCTCATCGAGTTTTGAAAACAGTACCATTTTTTTGTCATTTTCAGAGTTGTTGATGCTACAATCCAAAAGCATATTCAGCATTTCTGATCCAGATACATTAGACCCTTTCGGTGGCTTAATGAGGGAGTAGGTCCCAATAAGGCGGTAGACTTGAAGAAATATTGCTGAGTTGGGATGATCATTACTACCGCAAGCATTTCTCATAATACTGAAGAATCTCTGAAAAAAATTAACAAATTAAAAAAAACACAATGAAAACTAATATGGCCACATATTATCTATAATATGAAAGAAGAAAATACTTCAAGAGAATCTTGATTTAGTCTTGCAGTCATTAGATATTTGAAATCACACTTTGAGCTTAAAAATTCTGCCAGTTCAAGAGTCGCTTGGCAGGTGACTCTAAGACCAAAGTATGTCGACTCTGACATAAATTTCCAGCCTTTACTCTTAGCAAGAGCTTCCCACTCAATAAGGTAAATTAAGAAATCTTGAATTTCCTAAAGTGGAATATAAGTATATATATNATACATATATATATATATATATATATATATATATATATATAACACATAAATGCAACAGTTTTTTAAAAAATTAACCTTATTACCTTGTATGGTAGAGAATTAAGCTTCAATGCTGTTAAAGGTGTGCGCGAATTCATAGCATCAACAACTGTATTAATTCTTCGAACGAAGTTAGCGCAGCCACTACTTTCTTTGAGTTCCGGCACTTTGCCGCTGTAAACCTGCAATGCTGCAGCAGTAGAAGCACTAAAAAACTAGAAATTTAACAAATAAAATTGATTCCTCGAAACTGTTTATAAATGTTAATTTTATAATGATCAAATCTTAATTAACACAAAAAATAATAAGATAAATTTTTTATTAATAGAATCCGTGATAATTGTATGTTAAAGTAAAATAGTTGATAAGAAATTTTAAAATCGTTCATGAAATATCTCGACATAAATTATTTCATAAGAAAAGCATTTGTACATGAAAAAAACTTGAGAAAGAAAAATGATTCCCTTGAAAAATTACCTGAAATGCCATGGCAACATTCATTTTTTGATAAAACTTTGGCCTAATGTGATCAGGTGTTAGTTTTGGGCATAGTTTTAAATCAAACCGTGTAGGCCCATCACATTCCACAATGGTATCAAAGAATTTTATGTCCACTTTGCCATCAGGTGTCTATCAGGAAAAATTCAAAACAATATAATAAATTCTTCTGCACATTAAAATATAAAATAAAACTAAACAAATAAAACTTACAAATGTCACTTGATTGCTAACAATAGCATTCCTCAAATTCTTTATAAGATGTGGAAAATCTGAAATAAACCACAGTCGTCTAGTTGGATCAGTAATATGTTCACAGCTAACACTGTCCAAAGAAATGCCAAATTTTTTAAACATGCTGCGGTTCCAGGTAGCACCATCACACACCACAGCATCAACGAAAAAACCACTCTTTTCCATCAATGTCACTGCCTCTATAATGAGATGGTGCAAAACTGTACCTAAAAAATATAATTTTTAATAGATATGTATCTAATAGAATTTCCAGTGCCAACAAATAACTTCCTAGCAGAACATACTCAGCGTTTTATATTCTAATTATAGAGAGCTTGCGTAATATTTTATAAAATTAATATTATATTTTCAAATAATGAAGAAGAGTGATATTTAAATATCCTTGTGCAAAAAAATAATTACATAAATTTAATTGCAACTAAGTAACTGAGAGAGTAAATAACAAATTTTTTTAAATAAAAATTTTAAATTTTTAATTATAAAGAATATTATATTTACCTGAGGCAGCATTTTTTGATAGGAAACAAGCAATTGTTTGCACCCACTTTCCTCTAAAGGGTTGGAACATCAGGACCAAAGCATGGTCACCCTTCTGCGATGTTTGTGAGGAAGGCGTATAATCACCTAAGTCTGTAAAGCCATGGATTTCCAGGGATTTCTTATCAAAGACAAGTGTAGGGCTGACCTTCATCTCATCAATCAGAAGACATCCTATAAGCATTAAATAAAATTACATTTAAATAAAATGTTTTATGAATTCCTGCAAAAGCAAAAGTACTAATAAAAAATTCACTTGCCCCTTTTGTTTGCCATAGTCATGACTTTAGATTTCCCTTCCAGGCATTTGAATATCGAAGATTGAAATCCATAGCAACCCTTAACATTCTTTAAATACCTGTAAAGAGTTGCAGGTGATGGGAGCTTCAAAAGTTGGTGACTTCTTAGGTGATTATACGCTTTAGTGCTCTTAATTTTGAGTAACAGGCACTCATAAATCCACTGGCTTGTGTATCGCATGCCAGTAGACGGACTTTTTGCTGCTCTTAAACATGCTGAAATGGCTTCCCTCTGTCCCTCAGGAAGATTCTCCATAGCTTTATGAAAAGCATCCTTTGGTGACAGAGCACATTGCTTTCGAGCAGCAACAACACTTTGAAGCCTTTCTGTCTACAAAATGAAATGGGACAATTTTAAATTTGTAGGAAAAAAAAAACTTTTAACAAGTTTCCATAAATTTAAAGAAAATTTTATAAAAAAAACTTACTTTTTTTATTAATCTTAAATTTTTCCTTTGAGCACATGCAAGCAATTGTCTCTTCTTGGCCAGGCGTAAACTACTAGAAAGGTTTCTTGTTACCATCTTTTTCTTCTGAATGGTAAGGCATTCCTTGCAAACACCAGTTTTGCGTGCTCTGTAAGTGCCTTGCAAGTATCCAGAGCAAGTTCTAAAATTAAAAAACAATACATTAATCTACAATACATTTAAGTAAAGCTAGATTTCAGCCACATCAAAAAATCTAAAAGGAAGCATTAAAAACACTAATTTTTACATGAAACTAAAATAACTTTTTTAATTCAGCATAATTAACTATAATTACCAATTGCCCAAGTTTTTAAACAAAATATATTTTTTGTTTTGAGCAAAATATCATGCACATTTTTTACCTGATTTTTTCCTCTAAATTTAGCAAAATTAAAATAAATATAATAATTATTGTGAATAATTCTTAAACCACAGCTAAAATAAATTAGAACTAAATATATATGGTGCTGATGTAAATATGAAGTAGTAATTACACCACTAACCTCAATAAAAAGCTATTGATTTATAGAATAAATGCATTTTAAAAAAATAATAGACTTCAACTTAATTTTTTTTTTTTTTTTATAGAAGCAAATTTGATTAGAAACACATCCTTAATAGCACAAGTAATCTGTACAAAGATAACTTAAATAACGATAAATTCATATTTTATGTAAATAAAACCACAGAACATCAGCTGCTCCGCTCCAGAGCCCAAGAATAGCCACAAAGGTCTAGTCCTTCCTTGAATGGTTACGATACTGAGTAAAGATTTCATAAAAAATACCACTCTATGTTACATTTAAAGTAACTCCATAACTCTAAATTTCAATTTAGACTGAAATATAAAATAGAATTAAAACTATTTTTTAATTGATGGGATGCAAATTGCCATTGAATAAATTTGCATACTTAACAATAAAAATTTATAGTGCATCATGAAATTACTAATAAAAAAGATATAGGATAAAATTTAATTTACTTATGTCCAAACTAATTCACATATAAAGCACCAATGAATACTTTCAACTTTTTCTCATATTTTAAAAAGGTATCTGAACAACTCAAAACTATCTTAAAAAGTCTTTTTTGTAGCTTTAGTAATACATGATTTATGTAAATAAAAACTAAACTAGTCACAACAGTTTAATATATTATCACGTTTTATTTAAAAAAAATTATTTGCTAAAAATTAGTAATTTGAAGATGTGAAAATACTTTTACTATATTGTCATTATTTAACTCGGGGAAGTAATTTGTTAAAGACATTAGTCATTAAGCATAAATGGTATTGCATTTTGTTGTAATATTGGACATCTGATGCATAATATCATAAAATATTTTACTTACGTTATTTCACTGAATAGTTACGGATAGATTTAGGTAAAATTAAAAACTTTTTGTACACACAAAATCTTAATTAAAAAAACATTCTGTAATCAATTAATAATAATTATCATAGCATACTTATTATTTCCAGCCCCTTTACAAACAACTGCTCTTTCAAGGATACCTATAAGTTAAAATAAATCTTCTTGGCAGTATAACTTTTGAATGTTAAATGAAACAGCAATTCCTTTAATAGAGGCCTTAAAGAAAAGTCAAACAAGCTTTATATTGATCTACAGGTTACAATTTTCCTAAAGAGTTTGGTACAATATTGCTACTGTTATAAATAATCTAAAAAATTAAAAATAAAAAAAACTTTTCGAAAAAATTATTTGAAAATTCATAGAATTCTGAGATACGGAAAAATATCCAGAATTATCCAAGAAAAAAAGTATTTTTACAATTCTACTTCCTGAATGCAAATAATTTATGGATAAATAATTATATTAAGTAACACTTTTGCTTTTGACATTGTGAGAAACAATTTCCGAACAATTGAAATTAATAGTCAAATAATTTTAAAAAAAAGTCAATATAACACTTGACATGTAAACTAAAAATAACATGAAAAGCATATGAAAAGAAATAGTAATAAGTAAACAAAAGACTGAGTCTATAATGCTTTTTTGGAAGCTGCGCTAAAAAGTACTATGCAGACCAGCGATTAAAAGTATTTTAGAAGCAGTTACTTCAGCCATCTACTTTTTTAAAAAATTTTATTAAAAATTAAAGCACACTTGTATAAAGAATTAAAGCACATACTTTTGGAATAAGATCCTCTCTAACTACTATACTCTTCTCTACACAGTCATTATTCCAAAGAAGAAAAGCAACAAAATCTGTTGCTATTGATGTCGACCATGAGGAATTTGCAAGTGGAGACTTAGCAGCCTTTTTCAGTTCATTATAAGAAAAGGGCACAACATCCTCAGAAATTGTACTGATATTGTTTTCATCTAAAATTAACATTAATTATAACAAAGTATATATAGTAATCTAAATTCCAGGCAATTAAGTTAATGATTATTTAAAGCAAAATGTAAAATTACCAGTTACTGAAGATATCCGCACCAAATTTACTGGCAATGTTTCCAATCGAGCTCTTTTGGATGGTGGCTTTCTAACACTTGTGGAATCAGACAAATAATGAGGAAGATTGGGAAAAATAGAAGGTACAGCATCCTTCTTTAATAGAGGTCTATCCCTTTCAGTTTTCCATATCTACAAAAATAATGCTTAATAAATAAGAAGGGTACATTAAAGTACGAAAATGAAATAATTTAAATATGAATACGAACTGAGCCATCGGCCAATTTCACTTCATAATGAGTTTCAATTTCACTTGTTTTGAAGTGTAAAGCACAAACAAAGTCCTTGGAAGTTAATTCTCGATCACTTCGTGGAATAGATCTCTTCCACTTATCTAGTAAACCAATATCCTATAAAAAATGTAACAAATAAAATGTTATACCACAACTACTTCTTAGGGAAAACATGAAATTTTATACAATAATTAGGATGACAAAGAAAGAGCCTGAAATGCTATGCCAATGAGAATATTTTTTTTTATCTCTTTAGTATTGGCCATGAAGACTTGACACTCAGCTTTATCCTTTTTTTCGAAATTTGAAATCCTAGGATAAGTTTTGCTGTCAGAATGAAAGGAACTAATTTAATTAACCAATCAACTACTCAAAATAACTAAGCTATTAAAAATCATAATAATTAAGCACTTTATTAAATGTTGCTTGCATGATAATGATAATTCGAACAATATTTTTAATAATAAAGGTTATAATCACTATTGATTGATTTATCTATTCTGCTTTAAAATACAAAAAAAAAAAAAACTACTGAAATACATATAATATGTATTTATTTTTAAAAAAAGGCTAACTTAATATATAAAGTTAATTCATTTTAACAAATATAAAGAAACCTGAATTAACTGAAGATTGAACTCAAAAGGTGTAATAAATTTAAACTTGTCAAAATCAAATTAATTAATTTAACAATTAAATTAACATTGAAATTAACAAATAAACAGATTTATAATTTTGATATTTAACAAATAAATTTGTCAAATATCAAAATTACATTAAATAAATTAATACATAAATGAGTAAAAAATGCTGTGTTTTGAATATGAATGGTTTAGGTTAATTTAAAATATATATAAAAAGTATGAAATGAAATTAAATTTAACAAGATTTACTGTTCTAGAAAAGTGGTATTAAAATTTAAACAGATAAATAAATTATTGCATAATAAATATTAAATGGTAATGGACAGAATGTTTCATGTAGTCAGAACAATTTCAATTGTGATGTAATCAAGAAATTTTTATGAAAACAACATTTTTCAACAACACATGTTTAAAAAAAAGTTAATAAAATTTTTTTCAACACTCAGCAGAACATAGAACCAGAGGATATAAATATTTTAACGAAAGAAGTTTACAAGGATAAAATCATAACAGCCATTACCTGATATCATCCTTTAAGAAAAGGCAATATAAAGAAAGCAAATTCATACTTAACCAATTCAAGTGATAAATCTGATATTGTACAGAAAGAATGAAAACCCTATCAATAAACTAAATTATATTAAATGAGCTATTAACTTTTATCATTCTGTGAAGTTATTAAGTTTTATTATTTTAGTACAATTAATAGTAAATTAAATATAATTATTGAATTTTAAGTAATTTAAGCTACTATAAATACAAAAATATTCATTTACATACAAATGTTTTAATTTAAATAACATTTATCTTATGTGCATAGTATATATTTTCCTTAATTAATCACTTCTTCGTTATTTTAATTTTGAATCTAAGACATCTGATCAGTTTATCATTAAATGCAACATATTTGTTATTTTGAATTTTTCAATTTTAAATTATATTATATATATATATCGTATTGTATTTAACGTCAATATATATATTTTATTTTTCAAAGAAGTTTATCACAAAACAATCATAGCAAAATTTTAAACAACAGCTTCGTTTCATCTCCAAATGCGATACAGCTAATAAAAACAGTTTTGAAATCGAAACTACATAATGATTAATGATCATCAATTCATGACGTATATACTATATCAATATATGACGTATAATCATAACTAAATACATATTTAAATAGCACGTGGACATACCCTTGGTGCTTGAAAAAGACTGGGTACTTTTTTCCCATCTTTTATTGCTTCTCTTCGTTGTTTCACATACCCGGTGTTACATCCTGTAGAAAAACACACTCTCGGCATTTTGAAATTGTGAATTTTATTTCAAAATTTAAAAAAAAAATTCAATTAATACAGAAAATATATAGTAACACAGCGACTATTCAACGCTAACGCATGGAAAGAATGTCTGGAATGTCCTTTTCTTGATCCCTGAGAAGTAATCAGCGCCACTTTTTGAGCAGCAAATCGGTTTAAAAATGGCCAGCTGCTTTTCAAACTTCCGGAGGGGAAAGTAAACTGTCCTTAACCCCTATATTAGTCCCTGGCAGTGAGAATGGACCAAAATTGTATATTATCGGTTAACAGTTAATTTTGTTATGCAAAAAAAAAAAAAAAAGGGATAACTACTTCAGTGACATCATCAAACATTAGCATAGTGCTGTCATCTTTAGGATTTTCATTATACTAAATATGCTTTGATAACAATATGATATTAAAAAATATATGCAAATTTTTATTCTTGAATCCAGTCATGTTTCGAATGGTTTTAATATTTATTTATAGTTAAAAGAAGATATAATTTCGCAGCTTTTCCCTTTTTAAGAAATGGAGAAATCTTCTTAGATTTCTGAAATCTTTTTATAATTTTACCCAAACCTACAACTTTTATTGGAGATAAACTGTTTTCTTTTTATTAACTTTTTTTTATTAACTTTTCAAAGTTAATAAAAAAAATTTCAAAATCTTTTTTATTTTAAGAATATTTGAATTAGATATAATTGCATAGATTAAATATAATGCATTTTAATAATTAACTGTATTTTAATAAGTTGATAAAGGTAATCAATATAATTGTTTAATTTTTTACTCTGAATATTTTAAGTTGATAATTTCGAAAGTTAACAATTTCAAAGTATGTAATTTTTTTAGTTTAGTTTGAACATATTAAAGAAACTCTTTGTTTAAATTTTTATTTAAAAAAAACAACAAAAAAATTCCAAGATACTATATGATTTCAAGAAGTAAGATAATTAATTTCATTTTTTTTTCTTCTTTTATAATTATAAGAATATTTAAACTAGAAATATTTTTTAAATATATATGCATTTTTGAACTTATTAAAAAGAACAGTCTACATTTTAAGTGCATGTTTCGCCAATTATCTATTTGAAAATGCATGTATTCAGCTTTGTGTTGAAATTATAATAAGCCTTTTACATTTTTCCTTTTACATTTGCCTTTTACATAAGCCTTTTACATTTGCCTTTTACATTTTCTTATCCTGTGAAAAAAAGAAAGCAATATAAAAATTTGAATCGGAGAAAAGAGGTGCAGTTCTGAAAGGAATTGTTTTTTTCTTTTAAAAGAGAAATACAGTAAACAGCGAAAAAGAGTTTTTAAGCAGAGCAAAACAAAAAGTAATAACAGCGAAATACCGATAAGTTAGTTATGGTTCAGAAATTACGGCCGTTATTAATCATTATGAAATTCATTTAAAGATGGCAGCACTATTCTTTAAATGTGCGATACAATACAATTCTTGATGACGTTACTGGCCTTAACCACCTAGTACCTGTTTGATCTTGTCTGGTCTGGTCTACACGTGTTTGCTGTCATCCATTTTGTTTTTCTTTCATTTTGTTGTTCTTTGGGTGGAGTCAGTTGTTTGTTACAGCTTATTCTTTACATTTCATTTTCGTGATTTTAAAGTAAATTATATTTTTCACTTNGGATAAATAAACAATGTTATATTAATATTTATATTAAATGCAATGAAAAAAAACTCAAACATATACCTGATATGGAATTAAAAGCATTCACAAAATTCATATCTTCTTCATTAAAAAGAATTTTATTATCATCTACATTTAAAACACAATGTAAAATATGTCTAAAATTGGCGATGTAATAGGGTGTATAAGTTTGCTTTGTAGATTCAGGCTCTTCTTTTTCATTACTATCTGATAACTCAGAAAATGCACTCATGTCATCTAAACATTGTTTAACATCATCTAATTCTTTATTCACTTCAAGTGATACATTTTCATTTTTAAAATTACTTTTTTCTATCTTTTCATGCATATCTATAGAATTATTATTGTTATTTTCAGTAGATAATGTTTTCTCAGTTTTCATATCTTTACTTAAAGGAGAAAAAGTCTTGCGAGAGTGCACTTCAAAATTTGGACAGCTATCATTGTTCAACTCATTATTAATACATTGAGACGATCTTAAAGGAGCAGAGATTTGACAAGAGCTCACTTCAGAATTCAGATATACGACATCATTGTTCAACTCGTCATTGTTTCCCTGAGAACAAGATGTTGATACTTGAACTGCAACATTATAATTCTTATCACATGCAACATGAACTTCAATCTCAGTTTCTAATTTAATAAGCTTTGTTGGTCTATTAAATTTAGTAGATAAATTACTGGATCTTTTAGAATTTCTCTTTAGTGTGGTTTTTTTTAAATTCTGAAAGCTGTCATTGCTTAACTCATTATTATTCATTACAGATGATTCTGAAAGAGAAGCTGGACAAGAGCTCATATATGAGACATCATTGTTAAACTTATTATTGTTCCCCTGAGAGCAAGAAGCAGGTATTTTGATCATAGCACTATCATGAGTTTCTGATTTGACGAGTTTTGCTGAACGGTTAGATTTAGATATGTTACCAGACCCTTTAGAATTACTTTTTAAGGTGGTTTTATGACGTGAAGTAATTTCATAACTATGTTTAGAAGATGATGTATGTTCAGTACTTTTTATTTTTTCATTTTGCTTGATATTTAATTTTGAATTTCTTTTGACTGGAAATGAGGAAACTAATGGTTTGGCATTCAAATCATTTCCGATTTTTTTACGGGCATTTATTGATCTCGGCACCTCATTTAAGAATACAACTTCATCATCCAAATCACTTAGCACAGTTTGGTTTGATTTTTTTTCCGCAGTTGCAGGTTTTGACGATTTTTTCCGCTGAGTTTTTAAATTAAGCCTGCTCGATGTTGTAGTTTTTTTATTGTGATTAGGATTAGTTTCCACACTCGAAAGTGAACTTTTAAGTTGATATTCAGATATTGCACTAGAACAATTATTATCTAAATGTTCATTTAATTTTGTTTTAAAGACAATTAGATTACAAGCAGGACAGTTAACTTTTGTAATATCAGACTGACAAGTAAAATAATCTAAAATGCTAGACTTTTTCATCCCTTGTAAAACAATACGAAATAATCTTTAACTTTAAAATATATTATAAAATTTAAAAAAAGTAATAAGCGAAGGATATTTTGAATATTTTTTAAGGGAAGCGTACAATAATTATTAATATTACAACATTAAGAAACTATACTGTTTAAATAATTAATTAAATGTCTCACAACAAAAGAGCGGCACAAAAAAAGTTTATTTATATTATGATTACTACCGTTTCCGGCTACTTACTTTTGGTGAGCTTAATCTCTCATTAGATTTTAGCACAGAAATAATAATTTCTAAACACTTTAAGGAATCGTTCCCGCTTTATGTGAATCACACACGTGTAATCCAGGTGAAAGAAGCCCCATGGCATAGACATCGAGAAATAAGGTCGTTTAGTAACGTCATAAGTAGATTTTAACTGAGTAGCCGCAAATTTTAAATATTTATCATTGAACAACGAACAATGGGTTCATTTGTCCTTTGGTTGTACTGTTCTTTACATCTATTATTATATAAATTTTAAGCATGCCATATGCATGACATATACATTGTTGCTGTAGTTCATTTACGTCGCACTAGAGCTGCTCAATGAGCTATTGGCAACGGTCTGAGAAGCATCCCTGGGGAAGATTCGAAGACATGCCATCACAATTTTGATCCTCTGCAGAGGGAATGGCACCCCCGCGTCGGTAGTCCGACGACCTGCAAGCGAAGTCGAGCACATTACGGTAGAACAGTTTACGAGGGCCAATACCGCACATCCTCTGTCCCTACACAGACTGATCCAATAGGTCACCCACCCGCACACTGACCGTAGCCAGTAATGTTTAACATCGGCGATCTGCTGGGAACCGTGTCTTAACAATCGGGACCATGATTTATCAAAAATATTGTCAATTTATAATAGTTTTCATAATCTTGTTGCCAATTCAGCTTGAAAAAGCCCCCCCCCCAAGCCAAATGCAATGTTGAAGGTTGGAAAGTACCAGCTTTGAAAAAAAAACATTTTTCAGCTTGACCTGCTTTTTCCCCAGGCCGACTGAAAAGCAAACCTGAAATGGAGTCAGCCCAAGCTCATGATTTTGGTAACCAGCAAGAATCATGGTTCTTTTAGCTCATGAAATGATTATCTTAGCTCATAAATTGGCGTTGTTGGCTCTTTGTTCTGTTGTCTCATCAAATGAACAAGGAATTGGTTATTCTGCCATTCGGTTTTAACTCTCGGTAGCTGCGCCAAGTTTCCATTTCTTTTAAATGCGATTCACGCCTCTCCAGTCGTCATCCTCAAGAGAACTGGAGCACTTAATTAGCGCATTTTTCGGGTGAGAATATTTTTCCACAGTGATATCATTTCCCCAAAAAGGATAGGATCGGATGTTAGTGATATGCATGCAGTGAAAATAGTCCATGAGTATTTTCACAGAAGAAGTCAATGATCAGAGGTGAGAATGGTATGCAGTGAGAATGGGCCAAAATTACATATTATCGGTTAACAGTTAATTTTGTTATGCAACAAAATAAAAGGGCATTAGCATAGTGCTGTCATCTTTAGGATTTTGTTTATACTAAATATATTTTGATAACAATATTATATTAAAAAAAATATATGCAATTTTTTATTCTTGAATTCAGTCATGTTTCGAACGATTTTAATATTTATTTATAGTTAAAAGAAAATATAATTTCGCAGCTTTTCCCTTCTTAAGAAATAGAGAAATCTTCTTAGATTTCTGAAATTTTTTTATAATTTTACCCAAACCTACAACTTTTATCGGAGACAAACTGTTTTCTTTCTACTTTTTAAAGTTAATAAAAAAAAATTCGAAATCTTTTTTATTTTAAGAATATTTGAATTAGAAATTTCATTAAATATAACTGCATTTTAATAATTAACTTTTGGTAAGTTGATGAAAGTAATCAATATAATTGTTTAATTTTTTACTCTGAATATTTTAAGTTGATAATTTCGAAAGTTAACAATTTCAAAGTATGCAATTTTTTTTAGTTTAGTTTGAGCATATTAAAGAAACTCTTCGTTTAAATTTTTATTAAAAAAAAAAACAACAAATAAAAAATTCCAAGATACTATACGATTTCAAGAAGTAAGACAATTCGTTTCATTTTTTTTTTTTTTTATAATTATAAGAATATTTAAACTAGAAATATTCTTTAAATATATATGCATTTTTGAACTAATTAAAGAGAAAAGTCAACATTTTAAATGCATGTTTCGCCAATTATCTATTTGAAAATGCATGTATTCATCTTTGTGTTGAAATTATAATAAGCCTTTTACATTTTTTTTTCTTATCCTGTGAAAAAAAGAAAGCAATATAAAAATTTGAATCGGAGAAAAGAGGTGTAGTTCTGAAAGGATGCGAAGAAGAGTTTTTAAGCAGAGCAAAACAAAAAGTAATAACTGCGAAATAACGCTAAGTTAGTTATGGTTCAGAAATTACGGCCGTAGTTAATCATTATGAAATTCATTTAAAGATGGCAGCACTGTTCTTTAAATGTGCGATACCTTGGCCGAGTGCGATATAATACAATTCTTGATGACGTTACTGGCCATAACCACCTAGTACCTGTTTGATCTTGTCTGGTCTACACGTGTTTGCTGTCATTCATTTTGTTGCTCTTGTTAACTTTGGGTGGAGTCAGTTGTTTGTTATAGCTTTTCTTTACATTTCATTTTCGTGATTTTAAAGTAAATTATATTTTTCACTTTCGATTGAAATTCCATTTTTATTTTGAATCACTTCTTTATATTTTTTTATTGTAGGATCCACAAACAGATAAATTTCAAGCACGGCAGTAGTGGTAAGTTTCTTTTTTTCATCATAAAATTTATTTTAATTAACTTCTTTGAGAAATTTCTTATTAATGAACGTAATTTCATGTTCGTATTTCTTTAGAATTGCATTTAAGTTCGATGAATGCAGTGGAAAATAAGTCTTTATATTTTCAAATAATTTTAAAGATTTTATTTCCGATTGCTCAAAGAAAAAAAATGTTTTTAATCAATAATTATTTTGAATTAACGCGATGAAATATTTTAATTTTATTTCGTATTTATTCACAATCTAAGAACATAAATAATAACTGGAAACAGTGTATATATTGGGGGATTCCCCTATCGTGATCTGTGGCAGAATAATCGCCAAGTTTTGGGCGCAATGTTTACATCTTATGTTCCAAAGATTATTCTAAAAAATATATCAAAGTATCCAATAGTAAAATAAATTTTCTTGTTTAATATTTATTTAAACCATGTAGTAACTCGATTTTTGTAAATATTTAACATATTTTGAATGTAAATCATAATCAAAATTCTTAACATTACACATAATGTGGTAAAGTTCGTCATTGTTAAATTTAAAAACTATTTTTCCTTCTGATTAAAACGATTCTTAAAAAAAATTAAAGTTTTGATCTTTAATTTTTTTTAAATATTTTCATTAAGCTATTTAAATTACATTGTTAATAAAGATTGAGCAATATGGCTAGCACTTTCGCTCTCTAGGTTAAATATTTCTCAAATTGTGATTATTTAAGAACCAAATATAGTTGTAAAATTTCAAAAATAAATCACCAAAAAACAAATGGCTTAGAAATTCTTAAACTTGGTATTTTTCATCCATTATATTCTATCTATAAGTGAAAAATAAACTAAATATAGACTTGATATTTTGACAATTGGTTGATTTGTTGTGAGATTACCTTATACTATTTCTTTTTATTTAAATTTGTTGTTAATAATGTGATAGTTTTTTTTTTACATTTATAATTTTCTCTTGAGAAGATCTCAAGCATTTCTCATGTGTTTAAAATTTTACATATTCTACCGTAGTTTGCATGTACTTTAAAACTCTTTTCTCTCGTCTCATGATCAATACAATACTTAGATTTTGAGGGCTAAGTTCGATAGAACTATTTCTGGCCGATCATAAAGCAGTTTTTCTGTTTCTAATGGCAGTGGTGGAGAGAAATCGAGGGGATAGAACGATAAAAACTTTGTTATATGTTGCAAACACTCTCGAGCAATTTTATGTAAATAATTCGCTGGTTGAACAATGGTGTATCAGTTTTTGATTGAGTGATTAAAATATTTCTAATTACTTGATAGCATTTAAAATTAATTTTCAGATTAAAATCTAAGACTACGATTCAATATTCATCAGTAGTCACTTTAATTTCATGTTCTTTATTTGTAGTTAATTAGTTATGAAAATAAATTATCAATATTTGATTAAGTATAATTTTTTACAATTATTATCCGATTAGTGTTTGATATTGTCGTGAGTTTTCCGTTCTGGTTAGGGTGTGTGTGTTTTATGTATATCAGGGGTCTGTCTAGGTTTTTCTGACAGGNTGACTCTATGTCATCTATTTCGTGATTTTCGATTTTAATTTTGTCATTTTTCTTTTGATTTATTCTCATTACTTTAGTTTTCTTCTTGTTTATGAATAAACCTACACTATTTGAATATTTGTTGAATTTGTCTGTTTTAAGCTGAACGTCTGTACATTTGGATGAAATAAGTACGACGTCATCAGCAAAATCAAGGTCTTCTAAAGTAGTGAAATTCCACCTTATTCCTCTTTTTTCATCTTTCAAGCTGTTTCGCATAATCCAGTCTATCACCAGTATAAATAAAAATCCCGATAAAACACATACCTGTCTCACACCAGTTTTTACTAAAAAGAATTCAGTTAATTCTCCATTTACTTCTATACATGCTTTGCTGTTATCATACATATCTTTGATTATCTTAATATATTTCTCTGGTATATTATAAAATGATAAAATTTCCCATAATTTCTCTCTCTTAACTGGATCAAAGGCTTTACTGAAATCAATAAAGTTTAAATATAAAGAGGTGTTAAATTCTAAGCTTTGCTCAATGATATTTCTAAGTGTGAAGATTTGCTGCGTTGTTCCATTTCCACTGCGGAAACCTGCTTGTTCTTCTCTTAAAATTCCATAAATTTCATGTTTTAGTCTATTCAAAATTATTCTTCCAAATATTTTTCCCGGTATGGAAAGTAGGCTAATGCCCCTCCTATTTTCGCATTCTGTTAGATCGCCTCTCTTGGGAATTTTCACTATTACTGCTTCTTTCCATTGTTCTGGTATGCTTTCATTTCTCCAGATTTCATTGAAGAGCTTTTGCAACTGTCTTGTAGCGGTTTCAAAATCTGCCTTAAGCATCTCTGCCACGATTCCATCTCTCCCTGCAGCCTTTTTCGGTTTTGTGGCCCTCAGGGCATTCTGTACCTCATCCAGCGAGATATTTTCCAAAGAAAACTCTACAGTAGATGCTACATTTAATGTAACATTTGGGAGTTGCTCAGAATTTTCAACATGGTGTGCGTTAAGCGTATCTTCAAAATATTCTCTCCATCTTTCTTCGATTTATCAATATTTGATTAAGTATAATTTTTTGCAATTATTATCCGATTACTTTTTGATATTGTCGTGAGTTTTCCGATCTGGTTAGGGTGTGTGTTTTTTATGTATATGTATAAATATTAAGAATTTGTAAAAACATTCAAAATTACAAATTGTTATCTGAGATAAATGTTATAAAGTGCTTTTATCATACTTAAAAATATCCAATTATAGTAGCTTAAAGCGTTTACTAAGAGAATCTTAAAAATGAAAACTCATCATCATTGTATCCAAACTTGTTTAAAATTATTGTTCTAAACCAAACTAACAATGGAATTCTCTTTTTAAAAAATTTTGTAAATACTATGAAATATGTAAAGAGAATATAGCACATACAAACTGTCAAAAGAGATAAGTTTCTTCACTAGTGACCTAATGTTATAGCGAAATTAGGAAAACAATCACCATCCATCGAATATTAGTTAAACAGAATTGGAGAAATCTAATCTATGCTGCATGTTTCAGTTGCATAAGAATGTAAATTATTTCCAGAAATCAACTGAGTTTTTATTGTGTAAATGTTTTCTTAAGTATGAAGACATTTCTATTGACTAAGTTGCCTCCAGATCACACTGGCTAATTTGATGTTAGTAAGTCAGAAAGTTAGGTGATAATAGATTTTCATTTGTAAACTAGTTTTGCATATATATAAGTAAATAAAATACAATAGCAAGGCTTAGTAGATGTAAAAACTTAATTAAAAGCTGACATATTGTATGAATTCTCTGCCTTATGTGTGACCATTGATTTTAACTTCACAAAAATCGCATAAACATGATGTACCATTTTGAAAATAGGCTTAAAGATTACATTACCCATGATTGAATCAAAGCATAATTTTTTAAATCTTAAACAAAATATCTAAGGATAATTGAAATTGCAAATAAAAAGTAAGTGAACCATTCAAAGTTATTTCATAGAATCTTTTTTTAGCATTGATCAATGTTTTCAATGAACAATTGAAAAATATCCACTTTTGTTCTGAAAATATGCTGAATATTTTTTTTTAAACTTCAAAAACACTAAACATTATAATGCTTGTAAAAAAAGTAATTTATCCCCTTGTTTGTTTGTATTATGACATTCATTATCATAACATGATTTTTATATTGGATACAAATTTGTTTTTGATGATAGCAGAATATTCTGAAAATAAATTGAAAAGTAGAGTTTTCAAATTCAGGAAAGCATCTCATTCTCACTTATGCTTTTGATTGTAGCTAATATCATGTTTCTTTAAAAAAATGCAAAAAAGTTAGGCATCCATTTTATATTGATCATTTTTAAAGATTTGTGTGTAGTTAATGTCTAGTGGTTTTGTATTAGTTTTTTCATACTTTCAAGATTTTATTCATGTGTTTTATGTTCTCATCATAAGTGATATGTTCCTCAGATTTATGTGGGTAAAATTTCAACCAAATTTTAAATCTATAAACTTATAAACTTCTTTTCTTTATTGATAGCTGAAGTTGCAGGAGTTTGATAAATCATAATAAAGCTGCCCGTTTTCATTGCGGATCACAAGTTGTGCGTCATCATCCATAAAACGTATGAAAGATTCAACTTATCAATTCCTTGTTTTTTCTTATATTATTATAAATGGACTGAATCTAAAAGAAAAATGGGTTAGTTTTTATTACTAATTTCATATAAGTATAGTGTATCATGGTTACTGTTAAATTCGAAGGATGATATATAAATTGTTTCAAAAAGGCAACTGCCTTTAGGAGTAAGTCAATCTTATTGAGTAAATTTTTAAAAAAAATTTTAGAGTTGGCATTCTTTTTTTTTTCTTCAGATTTCTTTTATAGAAAGTTGATTTTTTTTTATTGAATAAATTATTATAAAATTGCACTGTATAAAAAATAGTCATGGTTGTTAACAATTATATTTGTATACTAGAAGTTGATATAAAGCATGTAAATTCTACAATTATTTATCTTATGCATATGTCTCTGGCAAAGTATATAACTCAGAATAGTCAAAATCATTTTTTGATAGGAATGTAAATAGCATTTCCTTTAAAGTTTTCGCTGTTATTTTCATAAAAATGTATGAGAACAAAGTTATATACAACAAATTGTCAAGTGTTTTGGTTATAAATATTGCTAAAAAATATGTGATCAAAACCTTAGCACAAGAAGTTGTCTGGTCCCCCTGACTAAACGTTTTAAAATTAACCTCCAACTGGTGAGCACAATCTTAACATGTAAAAAAAGGCACCTGTTCCAGCATGGTTTACCTTTTTATTTTTTCCATCTAATAATTTTCAGCATCTTTTATTTTTATTTTATAAGAATTTTGGAAGCTGATAGTAGTGTTGGATTTCTTTCTAATAAAAAAGAGAATATTAATGATTTTCAATTTGACTTTTAGATAATTTTGAAGCCTTTTTTATATTATGGGCTCTAAACTCTGGCGATAAGCCTGTGCCTGTACTCTATACCAAAATGATGTTACACTAGTTGTTTTCGCATTTTCTTCTGAATTAAATTCGTATGATAACTTATTAATATCCTCATTCAATACTTAACATGTGGAATTCTGTAGAGTATTATACAGTATTCAAGACAAGTATGAGAATTTGAGTCTCCGTAGGCAGCCTCTGTAAAATGACCACCGGTTTGTGATACGGAACGTCTTCCATCAGGTTTACATTGCGAGAAACCTTTTAACCTCAATTTCAGACAGGCTGCCGCTCGTTGCTACCATGAATTTTGTGTTAGGGTAATATTATGGTTGACTTTTTTCTAGTTTTTCCTCTTATGTCTGCAATTGTTGTAATTAATGTTTATTAAACATATTTTTCCTCAACTGTAATCATATTCAAGATATTACTAAACAGTTTTAGACATTCATACAAAGGTCAATCATAGATTAAGATTTTGCAGTTCATTTACACCTGCTACGTATCAGCTGCATCTTTAAAGGAGTGTTGCTAAATTATAGTACCTTGTTCTAACATACACACTACATAGTTGGTAGTAATATCCAACACTTGCTCGAATAGACTGTTCATTGACACGGTATTTTTTTAGTGATTTTTTTTTTCTTCCTTTTATGTTTTACTGGGAGAGTGAGTATCTGAGTAGGAACATAGTAAATGAATAGTCGAAGTAAAAGTCTTTTAAAAATTTCTTGCATTTAAAGATAAAGTAGTATGTCAAAAGGAGCTCTTAAAGCTTAATAGAAACAGTTTAAGGAAGATCATAGGTCTTCTTACTGGTCACTGCATCCTCAGGAGCCACCTACACATAATAGGAATGGAAACCAATTCTCTTTGTCGAGGTTGTCATCTTGAAGAAGAGGCATCACGACACATACTCTGTGATTGTGATGTCTATTCTGCTCAAAGATTTGAGCATTTAGGGCAGCATTGCGTCAATACCTGGGAACTGCAAGATGTTCCTGTAAGGTGCTTGCTGAACTTCATTTCAGCTATAGGGCTTTCTTGCTAATCACGATTTAGGGTTTGGGTACAATAGACCTCTGGTCAATGTGTCCTGCTCGTCAGAGCTGCCCAACCTCTAAGTCTAAGATAAAGTATCAGTTAATTGAAGGTAAAAGAGAAAGGAGTAAGGTTGCAAATTAGCACTATATGGCTATAGAAAAACCCAAATCGACGACATATTAGAAATAAAGTATGCATTCTGATAAATTATAATAAGGTAGAAAAACTTTTTCTATAGCTTTATTACAATTACCTTATCACAAATTTATACGTTTTGACATTTTACATAAAATGTGGGTTGTGGGGATTCTTTTAAAAAAAATTTAAAGCATGTTATACTTGCACATTCTCCCCTTCCCGTCATTCTAGGTATAAAAGTCTACAAGGCTAACTCATCAATGATTGGCATCTAAATTGGATTAAATTATAAAAAGTCAAAAATACCCAGCACTTCTAGTAAATTATTTTTTGATTTACAGAGCAATAAGGAACAAGAGGGGACAAATTATCCCATCCATTGTTCTGCTAACACAGGTCACATATACACAGTCCAGCAAACAAGCATTCTTCTGAGAGGTTTTATGATCATTGTAGTTTACTGAAGTTTCAGATTTCATAATTTTTTTATAGTACTTTGCAATTTGTACATGCCTGAACTCTGAGCTTTATACTTTGCCAGTGAAATCTACACCAGTGGCCAGAAAAACTAGATTTTTTTTTTTAAAATGTAGAGATAATAAACTACTTATGAAGTGTGGGCATTACTTTTAAAGGGGTAATTTTGCTTGAGGATTCGGTAAGATTTGGTTTAAGATTATCCATTTTGCTATGGGATATTAGAATAATAAATTATCCGATTTTCGTTTTGTAAATTTTTTCTTTCAACTTTCTTAAATGTGAATATTTATTTTAAGAAATGCTGAAAAATTATTAAATATTAATTATTAAATATTATAAAATTATATAATATTTTGTATGGTTTTTTTAAGCTTAAGTTTACGGCAAAATAAACTAGGTAAAATATTTCTGAAGCATTCTCCTTGCATCTGCTTGGGAACTTACGTAAGATCACAATGAAGATGTAAGGATTCGTAAAAAAATTTTTTTTTATATATATTCCATTCTGTTTCAGCTGTTATCCTTGTCACAGCTGTATGGCAGATTAATAAACATAAAATGCAATTTGCACTGTAGTTGGGATTACTACTAAAAAGTTTCGAGGTTGAAAAATATTTATGGTAACTTTACTACATATGAATTAAAATTTTTACTTGCACTTTTATCTTTTAAGAAGAAATGAGCTTTTTTATACTTAAGCTAACATATAAAGTCCCTTTATATCATGCTTTAAAAATCCCTGTCATGGCTAAACACACTGGTGTATAGGTCTTTATTTGAAAATTATGATTAATCGGCACTTTTCCATTTTGTCGGCACATGTAAATTCAGCTATTTTATTTATTTATTTTTATTTTTCAAAAAAGAAAAAAATATCCCTCATCTAAAAGGATTTTATTAAAAATATATTAATATAAATAAAAAACAATTGAATTTACTTGGGTCCAGTGATTGAATTGGAATCTTTATCACCAGAGCCGGTGAAATGGTAAAGTACCAATTAATCAAATGTTCTTAACACATATAAAGTTGCAGAACATTTTATGTACAAAAAAAAAAAATTTGAAAAAAGTATACAAAAAAAAATTTTGAAAATTTCTGTTTTAATGTATCTTGGATAAGACAGAAGCTGTCCAGTAAATAAACTCTGAATTTAGTGTATTTCAATTAAATTATTTGCATTATCTGTTCCATTGTATATATATATAAAAAAAATTATATTCTACATTGACTTTAAAGAAACACTCGTAAAAGAACAATAACAATTGACAAAAAGTAAGATAGCTTTTAGTTGTATAGAAAAGTAAGATTGCTTTGTTTAATTTGTCTTATGCACAGTTTTTTCAAGTAGGAAATGTTTTTACTTAGAAAAAGTTTCTAGATTTAACAATTAAAAGTTTGCTGCTAGTAGTATAGTAGTTTGCATGTTAATTCTTATGATTGCGTCACTTAATAGTTGTTGAACTTAATAGCTAGTTTAAATGTTAATTTCATAAGTAAGTGGAAACTTAAAATCGCCAATTTGAAAAAAATTAGATAGGTCTAAATTAAACTTAATAAATTAATAGGTCTAAATTAAACTTCTTAAATTAAAAAAACAGGTTTTCCATAATTTATATCATGTATAGTAAAACATAATTTTATAATTACAAGACAAACACTGTTCAAATTGCATAATCAAATTTTATTAGTCCTTCTAAATTAGTAATTCACATACAAAACATTTGCTACTACGAAACAGATTCTTAGGCATAAATTGAGCTATCTGGTTCTAGTGCGACTTTCTGGGGCCCTGAATCAGCTTTGGAAATTTCTCCCACATCATTCAGGGTATCTATATTCAAGATTTTTATAATCAAAGTATGGTAAATACGAGTATCTTAGTACAGGCTCTTAAATATGTGTAGATTTTGAAGTTCTGTGTAAAATCATAAAAATATAAAATTAGTAATTTTTTAAAGTAAAAGGGAAAATTTGTACTTTCTGGTACTATATTTAATTTAATTTGTTAAGCTATAAAATTTTACTAAGCGATTATGAAATTTTTATTAAGCAATTGTACTATTTTAGTTTATTTCATTTTTTCCAAACCTCTTGGAATAAATTGTTTCTTCTAGACATAATGCCAACTCTGATTTTTGTAATATGATAACCATGTTTCATATTTACAAAAGGTTTTTTTTTTTTTTACTTTAGTGTGACTTTACCGTGTGAGTTTATTGAATTGTAATATTATGAAAGATTTTAAAATTGTATTTATATTGAAATTTTTGTGATTTTTATGGAATTATATTTGTTGTTAAAGAATACTAAAATACTCTGTAAGTGGGATATTATAGTATTTTCTGACAATTGTTAAAATAAAGTTTAATAAAATTACAATTGAGTCATCCTATTCTTAAAATGGTTATGTCAACAAGCTAAATTTTTTAAGGAGAAATTCTGAAACTTTTACTAATTTTGTTAGGCAAGCCCCTTT